CCCCTGCATCCCCTCCAGCAACCGCATCAACTCCGCCTCAACCTCGTCATTCGAGGCGTTGGCGGACATCGCGGCGGTGCTGGGAGGCGATGCAGGCGGGACGAAGGCCACGAGGGGGCCTTGGGCGCCACCTGCCGGAATGGCCGTTGCATTCGAGGTGACGGACGAATTTGAGACCCGGTGCATGTTGTATGCTGCCGGGTGAGAGTGGCTTGGGCCCGGAAAGCCGTCCTCGCCAATACGCGCCGGTCGTCCCAAAGCATATGGTGCCGGACGCGGCCCGGACGCCGTCAGTGGCGTGGTTGCTCCCGAGGAATACCCGGCGAGCATCGTCCTCCCTCTCCCAGAGTAGAATCCACCCATGTTGACGTCTTCGTCCATCGTAGCAGGACCCGGGTGATCTCTGTCGTCTTCGTCATTGTCCCGCTCAAGCCCGAACGGATCCACGTCCGTCGATGATGCAGAAACATCACTGTATGCTTCAGACAGAGCGGTTGATGGTCGAGGGATCTCCTGTTCTTCAGCTTGGGCAAAGTCACCAATCGTCACCGGCATGGTCATTTGGCGTGCCAACGGGGCTGGACGGGTTGGTGTCGGTCTGGAGCCGGGATGAGGCTTCTGATATGTAAGAGCGGTCGTCGGGGGCGACGATCCCAGGGATTCTTCCTCTTCGTAGTCTTCGGTAACTTTGGCTTCAGCCATGGCGGAAGAGAATGACCAATCCATTGTCTTATGTCTCTTGGTCTTGTCGCCCGGATCGGCTTCTGTCTCGATCTCCTCTTCTTGTGGTCCTGGAATATCATGACCGTTAGTCGGCTCTGGTTCGGGCGCTACATTTATTTGTGGGATCGTCATTGCAGCCTCAGACATTGCGTTTGCGAAGGACCAGTCCATTGTCGCGTGACCGGGTCGGGAAGATGTGATCTCGGCTGGCTCTTGCAGCTCAGGGGCTTTGGTTCTGTTCTTAATAGTCCATTCCTCTTGAGACGTTGCAAAATCATGCGCGGATGTACTCGAGGGCGCAACACCTTCTGCGGACGACGCTCTTCGGGCCGTGAGAGATTGGTTATTGGGGTCCCGAGGGCCTTTGGAATTGGCTCGTTTCTCCCGAAGTGTAGATGCATCCGCAAGTCTGATGGTCTCTTCCTTCAATGGCGGTGCAGCATAAGCGGTTTGGATTTTGTCATCAGTTCTTGGTGCAGCGGCAACTGCGTAGTCGGCTTCATCAAAGTCTCCGAGATCAATGACATTAGATGCGATAGAGCTAGGCCGGTCCTCTGCCATGGCTCGGAATGGCAAGTCGGATATCCGCCGTTGTTCGGGGATCGGAATAAAATCTGTTTTGGTCTTGTATTCATATGCAGGCTTGTCCTGGTCGAAAAGGTTGGAGAGATCCGCTCCTCGTTTGACGCGGGCTTCAAAGTTGGCCTTTTGAGCGGCTGTCATTTCCTGGGGGGGTGAGAGACTTCCGGGTCTGTTCAATCCTTTTGGTGTTTCTTCTCCTGTCATGCTGTCGCTAGGAGAAAATTCCGAGAAGTCGGGGATCTCCAAGATTGCAGAGACGCGTTTTTCGAAATCTTGAGTCATGCTAAAGTTCCATTCATCATCAGATTCCAAGTCGGCATCTGGACCTTGAGCAGAAGCGGCCGCCGCGCCACCAGGCATGAACAGAGAGATTCTTTGACCCCCACTAAACAGCCAAGCGTAATATGTTTGAACAAGCTCGGTGAGCATACTTGTCGGATGTGTCTCTTCTGTGTCTTTTAGAAAATCATGTTGTAACACGTCCTCCATTGATGGTCGTGTGTTGGCGTCAGGAGTTAATGCGTAGGAGACAAGTGAACGAAGGCCGTCACTGAAATTCTCATTTTCTGGAAGAGAGATGGCCTGCTTCAAGCGTCTCATTCTCATTTTGAGTTGTTGTCGCTCACGGAGATCGCTATTTGGTGGCCGTCCCATGGCACACTCATAGATGGTGCAGCCGTATTCCCATACATCGACCTAGCAATTTGTGTCAGTCTTGACATTCGGTCCAACTGGTATATGTATGTTTTCGAATGCCGCTACACGATGGCCATTCAAGCAACTTACTTCGTCTGAATACTCGGGATTCTCTGTCCATAGCTCCGGTGGCATCCAGTGCAGAGTTCCAATGAATGTCTTTCGCTTGTCTGTTTGGGTATCGAGGATTGTGGCAACGCCGAAGTCACACAATTCCAGGCGACCTTCTTGGTGAATAAGAACATTGGCAGCTGGAAGGACCACGAGTTAGTATTAGAGCCATGTATCAGCGAAGAGGGCTGCGTCGACGAAGAAGAGACTCATGCAAAGCAAGGGGATATAGCCTACCTTTGACATCTCTGTGCATTATACCTGCTTGATGAAGACCTTTGAGGGCTTTGGCTAATTCCCTTGCGACAATTACAATATACTTTTCAGAAAGTCTGTCGTTGGTCGCCCGCATCTACAGCTCCATATGTCAGTCAAACAACATACAACTTCAAAAGGCCAGACTCCAAAGGAGGATGTATGGCGGAAATATAATGCTCAATCACTAAAACTTACCAGAGTTTTAACACTGCCGCCAGGACAATATTCACACACCAACCACAGCTGACTGTGCACCGGCAAAGCTTCGATCATTTGGTTGAGGTTTTCTGCTCCACTCTCTTGAGCTTGCCGTAAGATCCTGATTTCCCGGTTGAAGTCCCGGATCTGTTCGTCCTTGTGATCGCCGAAGGCATGAAAATCTGCTTCATCGATGTCAAGAACTTTGATAGCAACGACCTTGGAGGTGGAAAGCTGTCGTCTATGAACAAGTCAGAGAAGGGAAGTCGAAGGTTCGAAATCCTAGATTGGCTCACCCTTTGTACACTCTACCGAAGCTACCTTTGCCAATCAACTCATCAAAAGCATAATCAGGTTCAGCTTGCTTCGACCTCTTGCACTTCTCCACAACTGCGCGCTGTTGTTCCTGGGCAAGCCGAACTGCCTCGCGGCGATGAGCTGTCATACCTGAGGCAGAGTCGGGATGAAGGCTATCCATCGTGAAAGTCGCGCCTGCTCGGCGTCGTTGTTTGAAAGTCTTGGTTCTCTTCAACGGGGTATTAGACTCATACACTTCTGGAGAAGATTCAAGAATTTCAAGGGTCTTTTTACGGTGTGCAATGACTTCAGCGTCTAATTCCTCCTCTTCGCGTACTCCCGGGCGGGCTCTTGTCGCTTCTTTGAATGACTCTTCTGAAAGGAGACGTCGAAGAACAAACTCACGGGTGAGTGGTGTGTGCTCTGGTGCTGGAGATTCAAGGACCTCTTGGCAACCTGCGGAATCGAGAGTCTTTGGCTGCCGATCTTCTGCTTCAGGTTGTGATGGAGTTACCGGGAGTCTAGTCTTGCGGACGCAAAGCGGAGGCGGAGATAGCTCTTCCCAGAGTGCTCGATCTTCGTGTGATTCAGACTCAGACTTTCTGGCAGGAGTTTGGCTGGTAGGAGCAGGAAGTGGAAGGCCTGCCGGTCGAAGAGGTGATTTCCGGGGAAGGGTAGGAGGCCCTGTAAGATCTTCACCAAGTGAGAGTGGAGACTTGACAGAAAGAAGAGAGGGTCTGGCAGACTCAGAATCACTTGGCGACTGTTTGCTGTGCTTCTGCCACCAGTTGTCTGGCCGGAGAACTCGTCTTGGTGCACGAGAGAGTGAAAGATTACCGTCCTTCTCGTTGAGTGATGTTGGGGAAGAGTGCGATGAGAAACTGGAAGGTGAAAAGGGACTGCTAGAATCCTTTGTTCCGTTTACAAGGGGTGAAGATAAGCTTGAAACGTCGGATGAAGCTGTGACTGCGGACTTGAATGTCTCTGGGAAACGTTTATCTCGAGGGGACGGAGTTGAGTCGCAGAGACGAGCAGGACGATATGGGTATCCACCGGACCCGTAGTCTCTTCGGGAGCCTGCAAAGAAAGGGGACTGTCTAGGTCGAGACTGTTGAGAATGTAGGGTTCTTGTCGATTTGGACGACGGGGGTGAAGCGGAAGATGATGTCTGAGAGAGGCAACTGTCCTCTTCGACGACGCCGAGGCTGTGCGGAGATGCTGCATTTCGTTAGTATTGTCACTGAGTTCCAGGTCCGGGGACTTGTCTGTCAGATCAACATCATGTTGCTAGGTGGATGACCCGGCGCCGGTGACATCAACGCGCCATGAATGTTCATTTGGCCGACTGGACCACTTACAAAGGGGTTCCGGAGCCTTGTCCTCAAGGGACTTTGTCTTTTTGTCGCCTGGAGACATGGTTGTCAGTAGTTGTCAAGGTTGCATAGCTGGTGAAGGAGAGAAGGACGAGGGCAACAGTGACATGGTGAAGACAGAGTTCTTCCATGTCGGCTCTCTTGCTGGATAATCGTAGACTTACCTGGTCAAGGGGGTTGGCGGAGGGCTTTCTCGTGCAGATTGTTGAAGAGCACCGATATGTACGGCACCGTCCCAAACCAACGCAAGGTTGCGACACCCCGCTATATCCTTCTGATACAGAGGTGGGTTTTCCAATTGATATCTTACCGCGCCATCGCTATTGGAGATTGGACACAAACGGTGCAAGGCTGTCGTTGTTCAAGTCACCCGGTCTGAAGCCCTTCTCAACCACTCTTGGCTTCAATCTGGACAGAAACACCGTCAGCATCCTTCCGTCGTATACTGTGCCGGTAGCAGCCGCGGTCGGGAAGATATGGCAGCAGTGGTCGCCTCGATACAGAGATGTGCACAACTACAACAGGAAACAGCGACTAGCGTGGAAAAGGGGAATGGGCTTGGCGTCTGGACGCTATTCCTATATTATACTAGCGTGCACGGGCCACTCAGCCTCGGCGTGACCTTGACAAGGCTGTGAGGCTATTAGCGACAAACGAGGCTGCGGTCTCCATGTGACTGTGTGACGGAATACTGTGAAGCCAGTGACCAAGAAATGGATATATGCTACCTATGTCCAGCGCAAACAGTGGTAGCAGTAAGAATCAAAACCCCATCCGCCTTCTTGGGACTATCGGCTTCTTGACCACTCCATTGCTGCCCATCTTCTTAACCACGGGTCCGCTACTTTTGGCCCTCCCAATCAGCAATCGCTCTTTCTCTTCATCGTCCTGCCGCCTCATTTCCTCCTTTTCTCGGTCCTCGGCCATTTGTCTTTCGATCTCCATCTTCCGGTTGAACTCACTCTCGATGATCCTTTTGTCCTTGGCGCTATACTCCTTTGATTTTAAGCTGTAGAAGACACCACCAAGGTCTGCCAGCCAGTGCGGATCAACAGCCGTAACACAACTCATGTACTCCTTGCTGGTCAGGATAAGTTCGTGGTAGACGACATAGTCGGGTGGATCTCCAAGCCCGTACAGAGCGGAGGTAGGATGGAGCTGGACGGTGACACTAGTGCGCAGATTGATGTACTCTCCGACTCCTCGCCGACGAGCGGCCTGGTGATAATATCCGGAGCAGATGCACTTTCGTATGACATCCCAGTCCGTACCACACGACACGAGCTCCATCTTTTGCTGGCCCGCCATAATGTCGTGTAATTGCTCCCGAATCTCTTTTGCACGACGTAGTGCTTTAGGATGTAAAAAGTGTCGAACGCACCAACCATCACTGTAGCCATTACTCTTCCACTGAGTGTACACGTGCAAAAGCGTAAGATGATCCGACTCGTGCACGAAGAACTTTTCTCTCGCTGCATCTGACTCCTCCTGCCTCTCTTTCGGCCTATAGAAGACAGACGGCACGGACAGCATACTGACAATGGTGAGCATCTCCTCGCTACAGCCGTATTCGGTAGATGATGTAATCAGCATCTTCGCAAGTGAAGGATCCATTGGGAATGCGGTCATCGTGCGTCCGATCGGTGTCAGGTCGCCAACGTGGTCCAACGCCCCCAGGGCCCATAGATCGAAGAGTGAGGTGGTAATTGTGTCTTGCGGCGGAGGGTCCATAAAGTCAAAGTCCAACAAGTCTTTGACACCCAGCGACTTCAGAAGCAAGACCGTATTTGCTAGATTCGTCCGCTGGATCTCAGGAATTGTCTGAATGTACAACTCGTTCTTGAATGCCTGCTCAGTATACAAATGAAATGCTTTGCCTGGTCCAGTGCGACCAGCGCGACCAGCTCGCTGAGAGGCATTGGCTTGCGAGATGGGGGTGATTTGCAGGGTGTCCATTCCCATCTTGGGATTGTAAACCTTTAACTTGGAGAATCCGGAGTCGACAACGTACATGATCCCATCAACAGTCAACGAAGTTTCTGCGATATTGGTGGCAACGATGACTTTACGCACACCGGGCGGGGCAGGATCGAAAATCTTTGCTTGGAGATCTGCAGGCATCTGGGAGTATATCGGCAACACCATGATTTTCGGTGGATTAACTAGCAGGCGGAGTCTCTCTTCAATCAACTCACAAGTCACTTCGATGTCCTCTTGGCCTGTCATGAAGACGAGGATATCTCCAGCGCCCTGAGAGACATGGATAGCGAGAACTTGCTTGACGGCGCTGTCAACATAGTCTTCACACGGTGAACGAGAGAACTGGATGTCGACAGGAAAGGTGCGGCCGGGAATGATGAATTCGGGTGCTCCTCCATAAAAGCGAGAGAAACGCTCCGAATTCATAGTGGCAGACGTAACGATGAGCTTCAAGTCTCTGCGTCGAGCAAGAACCTTCTTGATCAGACCCATGAGGACGTCGGTATTGAGAGCGCGTTCGTGAGCCTCGTCCATGATGATGCATGAGTATTTGTCTAGATCTCGTTGAGTGAGGGATTCTCTAAGCAGAACGCCATCCGTCATATCTGTACCACGATCAATAAGTCGTCTGGTATCGGAACGGCAGAACTTACACTTGATTACCGTCTCATCGCTTGTGCAGTCCTCAAAACGAATGGCATATCCCACCAATCCACCCAGCTCTACTTCCATCTCCTCACTAACCCGCTTAGCGACACTCATGGCGGCAACTCTTCGAGGCTGTGTACATCCAATCAAGCCGTGTTTACCGTAGCCCTCCTCGTGGAGAAACTGGGTCAGTTGCGTCGTTTTCCCCGAGCCGGTCTGGCCAACGACAATGATGACTTGGTTGTCTCGAATGACCCGCATCAGCTCCTCCCTCACAGCAAAGGCCGGTAGATATTCTCGTTGCTCCCTCAATGTCTTACTCTTGCTAAACGCAGAGCTCCCGGTACTCTTCTTGAGATGAGCAGAAAATTTGCTCTTGCCACTGTCCTCACCTGGTAGCGCAGCAGCACTGTCTCCCTCGTCTTCTCTCACGCCCATTATATTGCCCAAAGCGGTTCCGGCAATATTTGTGGCTTCTTGTGCCTGTTTCTGTCGCTCTTTTTGCTGGCGCTTCTCCCGTACAACCTTGCTGCCCTTGCGACTGAAGACGGCCATGTCACTTTGAGGATCCCGCACTGCTGGCACCGGCTCGAGTTGCTTTGTAAAGACAGTCTTTCCGTCTAGAAATGGAGGTTTGAGGTCATGCACAAGTAGATGCACCCGGACAGCATCATCGTCATCAAAATCCTGAAGCTGATCGCGCCTTTGCGCAACTCCGGACGTGAGCATTCGATTGGCCTCCCAGGCATCAACCTCCTTCTGTTTCTGCGCCGCCTTAGCTGTCAACCTCTTGCCCAACTTCTTGTCCAACAGCGCCTGCTCGCGCTGCTTGTCTGCCCAAGTAGCATCTGCACCGCCGAAAGGGTTATGTGTTTCGTCGCCGAAGGTGTGGCCAAACTCATCTCCCGTATACCAGTCGCGGTCCATGGCCGCGGTGTCCTCATCGTTGAAGAAAGGCTCTGGGCCGTCAAACTCTTGTTGGTGCGGCTTTGGATCGTGCAAGCGACTCTGGTGTCTGTCGGATGGCCTTGCGGAGCGGCCTCTGGATGCATATTGAGGCATTAAGGATGGTCCCAGATCGTCGCTCGAATCGGGATGGGCATGATGGAAACCTCCTGCAAGTTTCCGCCGCTTTGGACTATTACCGCGCTCCATTGCTTGGGAGAAAGAAGTTGTCGGGGATCGTCTGGTAAGTCTGGCAGAAGGGAAGCGGGCCAGACATCAATTGACAGAACCACCCTGAACCATCTATGATATGTACACACGGAGGCACCACCAGGCACTTGTCTAGGTGCAGGGAAAAGTTTTACCGGGGTTTATGCGGAGGACTTCCACACGACACTAACATCGATTTATGCACATCGTGACATCCCCGCCTCCTCCGCAACTCTACATGTAAACATTTTGATCACTTCACCTATCGACAGAATGGCGTCAGGGCAGGAAGCAGCTCTCCGGAAACAGCAAGGTATTTGGAGTCCTGATACATCGCAAACTCCTACTAAGAGTATACAAGACTTGCAATCGCAGTACACCAACTACAAAAACACCCTTCAGTCGCTTGCGCAGAAGGTAGGCGAAATTGAACAAGAGATTGAGGAACACAAGTCAGTTATATCCATACTAGCACTACAAGTCTTGTTTGGGGCGAGTATTTCCCATAGAGGCGATGCAAGATACTGACATTTGGCTTTTGGACAGACTTGTTATGGAGACGCTTCAGCCACTTCCTCAGGACCGCAAGTGCTTCCGCCTGATAAACGGAGTACTTGTTGAGAGAACAGTGAAAGACGTCCTACCCGCGCTGAAGACCAATTCCGACGGGCTCAAGCAGGTCTTGGAGGAACTACTCAAACAGTATAAAAACAAGCAGGATGAGATGGATAAGTGGAAGGCAAGTTTGGCGACCATTGCGTCTCTTGGATTCTCGCTGATGGATGACTACAGAAGAAAAACAACATCCAAGTGGTACAAAACCAGTAAAAGATGTGGACAAGGATGTTTTCGGAGAAGATACGGCGGATACGTTGGCTGTAGACAGAGACACACACTGCCCACGGATTCAGGCTGCCAAAAAGACCCCTATGCCAGAGTCAACTGAGGATTCTAGTGCATTGGCATCGAGAGTATGATGAGGCCAAAATGAGGCGTGGGAGTATTATGATAAACTCAACGACTAGGCGACTGCTGGACGCGGCCTTGACTGCTATCTGAGGCAACTGCGACGCTCTTCATTTATAATTCTTGCCCTTGAACCAACCTGATCGCAAACAAATCCCGTAAGTACCCCTACGACAGCAGCTCTAATCGTCTGGATTCGTCTTATTTTCTCCTATTCTCCACGAGTGCTAACCTGAGCGTCAACCAGTTCCAATTTGACCTTGCTGTTACCGCCGTGACAACGAGCCCTCGAGAATGGCGCCTTCCGGAGCCAGCTGGCCCTCATCGAATGGTAACACACAAAAGAACTACCCAAGCGGCAACCACCCTCGTACCACCTTTGCACTTCCACCGCTGATCAGTCGCCCATCGCTCTTCTGTTGTCCAGTGGCAGAGAGTGATTCAGCACACTTGCCTCGAAGCTTCGTCAACCCCGGCCGCCATTTGATGAATCTTCAGCTTCGAACATTCCTCGAGTGTGCTGATGATGCTGAGTACACCTTTCCGAAATGTGAAGTGTCCCACATTGTCGAGGTGACCACCAGAGCCCTTCATAACAATACCCTACCGTCTCATAGTCGGTCCGCAGATCAGCAGCAGTGGAATTCCCGCAGCGGGCTGCACGACACTTCTCTGACGTCCTGCACTCCTCCCCTCGAAACGAGTGAAGATGGCAGAATGGCAATTGACGAAGAAGAGCTGAGTGGTGCCGAGATTCCATACAGTACATATCAGAGCATGTCGACGCGGTACTTTATCTCTCAAAACAGCAGCAAGGCGTGGCAAATTCCGCCTCATTCTCGATCTTATCGAGAAACCCACCCCGAGCCGAATCCAAGCAGGGCGGGTGTCGAAAGATATATGGAGATACCACCTTTCAAGACATTGCCATACACTTCAGAAGGGATTTCAGGAGGGGCAGGCGCTCGACCATGGATGCCGTCGTGCTCCGTCTTGATGTGGTGTACTAAACACAATCAATTCTACGAAGTGCACGTACTGTCTTGAGCGCCGCCAAGAAGGATACAGGGATAAATACATATCTAACGAGTGACCAGCTCGGTCTCACCAGTCGAGAAGAAAGAAGAGCTGGTCTTGCGCATGGTTTCGCACATACATATTCTTTCGCACTGGTACAGGAGGGAGCTGGCTGCGAAAAGAACCACGATCTTGACCACATGTGGGCTTTAGATAGCTCGCACAAATATCGGGTCAATACTTATGACGAAATTCAATGCACAGACGTCTTTTGACTCCAAGGCAGATCGCAACTGTGTCTTGGAATGGCGTACTTGTACCTCGCACACAAATACTAGGTAGTCATTTCTATTTCTGTTTGCAGGCAGCTTGGTCATCCGGTGTGAAACTAGACTACGGACGACCTGATCCCAGTCTTGTCCGGTGCCGCCGCATCTGATATAGCTGCAAGGCTAACAAAATCGCCCTCATTTACTGGATTCCCACAAGTAGGTACCCGCACTATGCTACTGTAGGTAGCTGGAGTGGCTGGTTTCCAAAGCATCGGAGAGAGGATACCATCATCCGCCGATGCGCCGATATGTACATTACCGACGCCCCAAGCAGCGCTTGTCTTGCATCTGCTGTGTAGCTCGCGTTGGTGCAGAAGCATCTCTACCTCGTACCTCGTACCTACGGAGTACTGCACAAGCACCGAGTACGCTGGCAATGGTAGGAAAGCTGTAAGATGCGCATCGGTTTCAACAGAATTCGTTTACGGTGGTGGCATGATGATGAAATGGAGAGTACGAGGTGAGTCGGTGCCACCTGCATCGTCTACATACTTTTATGTACCGGTACTCCATACCAACACGGTGTATTTCTTGGGTACCTAGGCACCACCAGCACTTAGGTAAAGCATGGTAAGCTACCGAGGTAATGTTGGCAATAGTTCCCTCACTAGGGAGGATGGGCGGCTCGCTACCCAGGAAAGAGCAGTGTGTCCGGGTAGGTACCAAGGAAGGTGCCTAAAGTACCCAGAGACTGTACACAGAACATACTCGTACTTGGCAGTCCTAACAGCAGTCAGTCTCTGCTTGAAACCGCACATTCACCCTCACTCACCACTGCTGTGGCTAGATTTTAAACTCCCTGCAACTCCCACGACTTGCCGGCGCTCCACTACGAGGTACAGCTTGCTTGCTCCCATCATGCGAACCTTGTCGAACCCAAGAGCTCGTGAGACATGGTTAGAAGCCAGCAAGGGAGGTAGCTCCACAACTCAGGCCAGATGGTTCGGGGCCATCACTGGTGCTCTTTTGCTTCTCCGCGCCACGTTCTGCAGGTTCTGTCCGTGATCAACCCACAACCGCCGCCCAGTTGACTCTCACATCATGTTCCATTGACCAGGGGGTGAAAGTTCATGGGTACCTCTGTACGTCCAAGCTTCAAACCAGGGAGCAAGGGGTTACATGCATGGCCCCCAAGCAAATCGGGTGCTTCCCAGTGAGTCACTCACCACCCTCTTGGTTCCTTCTCCCACCCTTGATTTCATGTTTCACTTACTGATTGGTAAAGCCAGTCAATCGTAGACCCGGCAACGGGTAGAGAGGAACTGAGAATGACCTGAGGAAGCAGCCCAATCTGATGCACCCGCCAGTCCATCCCTGAGCTCGCTGAAGTTCACCTCCTGTCTCAACGACCCTCCTCCTTCGAGTTGTCACGATGCCCCCAAGACTGCGTCCTACGAATGTCCAAGCCACTACAAGGACTCCACCTTGAGTGGCCCGTCTGCCCGTCCCATTCCATGCCAGAAGAGTTCGCATCGTCCCAAAAGCCACCAAACACACTCATCATCGCTAAAGTACGAGTAGTATTGCGGTCAGGCGATCCGCACCGGCCAACGACAATCATTTCCTTGAGCACACATTCTCGAAGGCCTATCGATTCTGTGTGGATAGCTATCGTCTTGCCGAGTCCATCCGTCCCCTACATTGGCTCGATACATCCGGCTAACCATCTTGCAGAGGGGCCTTGGTTCGCTTCTTTGGCACCAAAATCCTCCTGTTGGTCCCAATCGACGCCACGCGGCCACTGGCATCGTTGTGCGCCGCTCAAACCTCAATCCATGGCCCACGACCCCTCGACCATCCTGGGCGTTTCCAACTAGGCGCTTTGAATATCTTGTCTTGCCTGCCTTTCCTTGCGACCTCACCTCCTTGTAAAGCTCCTCGTCGGTCCTCACACTCGTTACTTCCAGATCCGGGTATTTAGGTGGCATTGGAATCTGATCCGTCAGAATTCCAACTTGTAAATTTATTTGTCCTTCAATCTCTTTCCTTGCCCGCCACTCACTCCTTTGAAGGAAATCCGGTACAGCATTTCTTGAACAAATGAAACTGTGAATACGTCACACACTCGCCACTGGATTTCACCGGCTTTTCCTTCAGAAACTTTGGTTTTGGACAGGAGGAATAGCTCCCACGTCTGTTGAAGTACTATAAAGCACCTCAGGGGGACACCAAGTGTGGTGTCTTCTCACTTTTGGTTTAAGACAGCCTCGAGGATCGGCGGTGCATATCAAGGGAATATTAGCCCCAGAGGAGGATCATCTCGGTGATTACAGACAAAAATTTCTATATCTCGGACCTCTGTGAGCTTCACATTCATATGCATTCTTGATTTCTTGATGTTTGTTGGGACTAACGCTTCGCAGTCGTCGACATGTATTTTATCTCCTTGCTATCCGTCTTGATAACCGCCTCGCTGCTCGCCACTGCTTCCGCAACGCCAGTGGTCAGGAAATCGCTCAATCCCAACTTCCTCAGGACCAGATCACCTCTTAGCAATGCAGCTTTCTCAGAAGACTGGCCTACCAATGTTGTCATGGTCGGAGGATCCCAGACGTATGGTTTCTGGGTTCCCACCGACGGGACTTGGTATGAACTGGGGAACATCGAATGTCTCGGCTTGCCTGCATATGCCATTGGCGACTGCAACGACGTAACCATCGACCAGATTGGCGTAGTGGCGGGATATGGCCCCTGCAGCTTCGTTGGCAACAATGGCTATTCATCCACACTTGACGGTGATGCCGGCGATGGCTACTATACCGTTGGTCCTCCCCAAAACATCATGGCCGCAGCGTGTGGCCCTTCATCATGATTGCATCAGCCTCCTTGAGCCAGCAAGCCTTCTATAACGACTTTCCACGCAGCTATTCCTTGATGCGAAAAATGAAGCACGACAATAGACTTTTGTTCATCAGCTTACTTCGCTTCTCGCTCCGTCCGCCTCCCAGCAAGCCGCATTGCGCGTCTTTGAATAGCCTTTCAGCGTCACCCGCGCGCGTGACCGAGCCAGATTCAACCTCGTCTGCCGGAAGGACAATTTCGCCTACGAACGCAGGACACCCTCTTGGCCACACACGATTCGACGGCACGGGGAATTGATGCGCTGGTTTGGGTCCGACTGCCGGTGGAACTGACTAGACACAAAAGTGCTTAATGACGAACTATCAGTCTTTCCAGGCCCAGAGCGCCGGGAGACACGAACCAGCGGTACTCGGTACAGCGAGCGGAGCGGAGCGGGATTCTTTCTTTCAGCAACCCGAAACCAACAACCTCAAAACCACCCCAAACTCTTTTTGATACCCAGCTGCGAACTGCAAACGAGATAGCTCCGTCCACTACAATACAATACAATGCAATGAAACAATATCTTATCTTCTATTTCTACTTCTTCTGATCGTCCTTCTGTTTTTTTTTTTCCACTCCTCCCCGCCTCCCAATCTTGTCCTGTTTTGTTATGTATGTCGTGTCATCTCCTCAAGTTTATTCCTAACGGAACTGTATATATTATAGCTAAGAAGGCAGGCAGGCAGGTAGGTAGGTAGGTAAAATAAGATGGTAAAAAGGAAACAAAAGCCAATCTTGATATGCTATTTCCCCATCACTGCTCAATCAATGCATTGAAATGCATATGCAGCATATATGCCTGTGTGTATATAGCTTGTGTATATGAATATATATATATATGTGTGTGTGTGTGTGTGTGTGTGTAAGATAGCTGTGTCATCATCCCTCCGAGTCTACGTCGGACATGTCCAAAGATTCAAAGACCGACTCCGGACGTCCCTCCCCAGATTCGCCATATAACGCTCGAATCTCGTCCAAGGTGGTCGCGAAGATCAGATTATCCTCTGCGAGACTCGCGGCGCCGCTCAGGGCCAGTTTGTTCTCCATGTCGTCTCCGACGTGGGACTGCAGGGGCTTCCAGACGACAATGCGCGTCCCTTTGGCGGCGTGGTGCTCGATGATCTCTGTCACGGCCTGGATCGCACATCCGTCAATGCTGGTGCAGTGGCGCATGTCGAATATGAGGACGGTTTCTGTGTCGACGTGTCGGTGGTGAAATCGGGAACCGGTCCTCTGATGTACAGAAATTGCTTCGTGATCGAGGACCTCCAGGCGATCTTTCAGATCGCTGGAATTGGCAAAGGTCAGATGTCCGACGATGGTGACGACGAGTGTTCGCATCGATGAAAGCGATGCTATGTGTCCCAGGTCGCCATCCTCTAATGCTTGTACTGACGAATCCCGCACTCGCACTTCGGCCCTCCAACCTCGGTGCGTCGCCCAAGCCACAATTGACCATGCGAGCCCCAGAGACATTCCCAGTGTGATAGAATGGGAGATCGTGGCCCCGAAGACTAGCGCCATAAGTGTCAACTCAGGCCACGCCCTTATCTTTCCAAAAAACACAATCTCGTGTGGACATTCTTCAATCATTGAAACCCCAACAATGGCGATCATAGCCGCGAGAACCCCTCTTGGAATGTAGTAGAATGCTGGGAGGGCGAAGAAAATGCAGACCAAGGTAATGGTGCTGAGAAGGACGTTGCTCATCGGAGTCCTTCCGCCTACCGAGTAGTTCAACTTACTTCTGCCGTAACCGCCGAAGCCGGGCAACGCAAGAAAGCACCCACCAACAATGTTGGCAATTCCGAGCGCGATGAGTTCTTGATTGGAGTTCAAAGGCACGTTGGACGCCTTGTTCGCTGCATTCGCCTTTCTTAGGCTTCTGGCTGTCAAAGAAGATTCGAACAAGCCTAATAGAGCAATCACAAAGGCCGTGGTGATGAGACTCGAGATGTCGTCAATGTTGTGAAAGGTGAATGGCCAACGAAAAGGTATTCCAAGATTTTCTGGTTTTCGGATCCGCCCGAGCACCTGAAGACCGTGCTCATGCCAGCCACATAACCAAGTGAGAAACGTCGCGGCGGCAACGACCACAAATCTATCCGGGATGTACGCGGCCACAGGGTACTGTAACTCCAAGGATCTTCGAAAATGTCTAGACTCTGTTAGTCAAAGGTCTCTAGGCTTCGGGTCCCTGGCTTCACTTGCCTTATCACCATGACGATCGTAAAGCTGGTTATAGAGACCGCAGCAGTGAGAAGATGTGTCTGATTGAGGCTTGTCAGGATGAAGAGAAGTTTCCTCGCAGGACTTCCTTCCGACACGGTTGGATCCTCTTTTGCTATTGCCTCAAGACCCAAGCCTGTGATCGTTTGTTGTATCACCACGTTGAGCCCGACAGCGCCAATGAATCCTCGCATAAACGGTCGACTGAGCACAGAGTCCACAAATCCAAGCCGGCTCAGGCCCGTCAGGAACAGCACCGTCCCCGTAAAGGCAGTGACGGTGCCGGCTATCTGGCCATTGATGGTCTGATCCTCCTCACCGTCCTTTCCTCGATCTGAAAGCGCGACAACTGTTCCAACAAGCAGAGAGCCTGGCGCTTCCGGTCCGACCACCATCAGAGGGCAAGATCCTATTAATGCGTAGAGAAGCGGGGTGATCACAAACGAGTACAGCCCGCTGATAGGGTGAGCGTGCCCGAGGAGGGCAAACGAGATGGACATGGGCACGTAAAGTGATGCCACCGTCAAAGCGCCCATAAAGTCCCCGGGAAACCATATCCGTTGGTACTCGGGAATCCATTTCATAAAAGGCAGATAGCGCGACAGACGCGTCCACGTACGTCCCCAATGAGTTTGTCTCTGGGCGTGTGACATGGCAGTCCGCTCCGACTTTGGCAGCGGAAGCTGGTGGTCTTTCGATGAGGCACTCGTGGTATCGAAGTCGATGTGCCGGTGGCATCTCTTGAGAAGCAGCTGCGTTTCGTTTGGTACCGCTTCTTCCACATCATCGTCGGCCATGCTAACAACACAGCTCACCAGTCTGGGTGAATGTGTGCCGCCATGGGCGGCGTCTGAGAGACAGATGGGAGACAGATATCCAGAAATTGTTGGTCTCGTGGTAGGAGTGTTAGGGCAGCTGACTGGTATGGCGACATCTCGTTAGCACCGATGTTGATTGATCGAAGAGCCCCTCAGCATCCTAAGCTGCGGAAACTGGGAACCGGTGCCGACGATTGGATCTTGGGGGGAGGATGGAGAAGCCTGACGCAAAAGTGATTCGCATAGGGGAGGGCGAGATGTGCATGTGTAGTGTCGAGCTAGGAAGACGCCCACGGCACGTCCCTGTCGCGTCTTTGGCCAAACAACAACAAGGAGCCTACATACTGTATCACCGAGTCCAGTGGGTGAGTAGAAAGTATCGAGTTCCTCGAGTGACCTGCGCCCCCTGCGCTCTTTCCCTGCGCATTTCCATCTCAATTAGTCTTGGCGCCGCTCCTCGCCTGGTTCTCATGTGCTTCCACATTGAACAAGCCTCATCACATAATACCAGACGCTGGATACCCTTTCCGCCGTGGGGGAGCTGCAACCGCAGGTATGTGGATAGAAACTGTCGTGATATGTGCCTAGGTACATAGGTAGGTATGTATAATTCCCGATTTAAGCACCTTAATCCAACACTAATACACTCCCCCACCCCAGAAGATCCAGCTTCTCCTGGTCGCTGTTGTGCACTGTACCCAACTCGTATATACCCAACCTTTATCTGTACCCCATTTGCAACAACATCCTACAGTCACAGTCGACGTCCGTGCGATGTTGATGCAGGGTAAGGAAAAGGAATCGGTTTCATTGCCCTTTGGCCTTCTTCTCTTCTTCCCTCACAACTTCACCAACCACAATCCGACAAAGCCGTTCCGCTAACTGCTCCACGCTCCACCCCCATCTGATCTCCTGGGCCGCATCTGCTCTCATTTGCCGACCCTTGTACCATCCATGGCTGTATTCGCATTCCTGCATAAACCTCTCAAGGACCTCACACTCACCATCACCCACAGTCCACACAAACTCGCCGTTAACGAGTCCATTGGCGCTTTCGTCAATCACCATCTCCGTGTCCCTCAGCGCGAGCACTTCAGGACGTATCATCGCGCGAGGGGGGGCGTGGAACTTAGGACGAAGTGATTTCCGGTAGATGATGTGGAGAGTGCGAAAGTGGGTGTTTGAAAATTCGCCGCTCAGAGCAAGTGGTCTCCTGGTGGAGCGGACGGGGTCAGATGGATAGGACGGTGGGGTGAGGTATGATGGGATGGTTTGAGCCTTCGATTCGATCTTCTCATGAGAGTCGGTCGATGAAGGAATCGAGGCCTTTGTCTTCTCCCAGCCTGAGTGTTGAGACCGGTCTTTGTCGTCGACGGACGCGCTTGAAGGCACTGAGTGCTTTACGGAGACATGGATTCGGTCATCACTGGGCGAGCCACGAGTTTGTGAGTCGATGCTCGCAGCTTGATTTGATCCCCAGATCCAACTAGGCCGACTCTCGGTGGGATGGGCAATTGAGGGCTCGTCTTTCGCCTTTGTTTCAATGCTCATGGCCGGTCGAGCTTCGATGGCTCCGTCAGAAGATGCGGGCGGACTGTCGTCGGATTGTCTCGGTTTGATTTCAATAGCTTGCAGTTCTCGATTCAACTGCAAGTCAACAGAATCCTCAAAAGAGTCGTCACTTGCAGATCGCATGCTGAAGCTGCTTTCTTGGCCATCAACATCCACTCCTCGGTGCCTTTGGCTAAAGACAACTTTTCTGGCCATGTTCGTGTCGTCAAGCCTCGCAACGCCCAGTGCCTGGTTGAAGCTGTAGCGAGAGCCTTTCATTGCGGAGCGAGGTGTGGGAGGCCGTACTGGAGAGCTCTCTCTGGCTTCCTCGTGATCCAGTGGCTGTGCTGTCGCTTGCTCGGATCGCGGAGGAGGCGTCGATATGGATATCGAAGAGTCGTTGAAATTGACAGGTATCTTGACAGGTTGTGGAGAAGAATAGGATGTCTCCGACGTTTTGGACAGCTCGTCTGCCGATTCGTGAGCCACATCCAGATTGTCAAGCGTTGTTGGTGATTCCGACTCAGATGTAGGACTGGACATACCCAGTGCGACCGGGGCGTCTCCTTCTAGCTCGTCTTCGCCAGTTAAGATCGTATCTATGCTCTCGACGTTTTCATGTTCAGAGGCCTTCCCTGTTGGCGTTCCAGCCATGAGCTCTATGTCGAACTTTCCGCTGTTTCTTCTATGCCTTAACTGCTGTCTCTTGATCTCGCCAGCGCCGAACAGGATCTTAGTCTCAGGCTCACGGTAAAACATCAAGCCGCTCATGTCCTCCGTACAAGCAGACAAGAACGTGCTCTGCTCTTGCAGAGCACCAACATCCTCGCCCCTCTTCCAGGGACTTGGTATCAGACTTCTCCGAGGTCTGCTGACAACTTCCTGGGCCCGCTGTCGTTGTCTGATTTGCTCCGTGTTGGTAAAGAGACTCTCGGTGTTGGTTTGGACGGCTGAGCCTGGACTTGACGAATTCTTGGCCTCCGCAAGCCAAATATCTGTCTCATCATCTGCTTCGAGTTCGGGTTCAATAAGAGATCCTTCTGGACTCTCTGCCCTTGGAGTGGGTTGCTCCTCCTCCCCGTCGCTGTCAATCACAATGACTTGGCTCTCGCTAGCATTTTGGATCTGCCTGGACACTGCTTCTCTCTCTAGCTGCCATTCCCGTTCCCTCCTTCCTTGTGTGTCGAGAATGGACTTTTCAGGATACTTCTGTATGAGGTTTTGTGGCGTATGTACCGCAGCTCCTTCGCCACTTGGCCCGGTGCTGCAACTCCCCTGGACCGGAGTGTGCTGAACGAGGTTTTCGCCTCGCCAGACCTTTGTACGCGAATTTTGCTCAGAATTCCCCAGCTTCTTCGTCTGCAAGACTTTGTTGGACTGTGAGCTTTTATCGTTGAAAGATGCCGATTGTTCCGCCGGCATCGATGCCAGTCTCTTTGCAAGCTCCTCGCCAAAGCGGAGGCCAGCTCTGAGCTCGCGTTGGGTTCCACAGTCAAAGCCCACAAATAGAGCTCCATCCTCTTCCAGGCCAGGTTTGCTGGAGGAAGTTTCCTGCTTGACTGCCAATACCCTATCGCGCGAATGATCTGGGGACACTACGTCTTGCAGCGCAATACCAGCAAAGACAGCACCAGCGGAAGCACGGTGCTGATGATGCGGCGTCCTTCGGACATTGGGTCTTGGTGGCGACGGCAGCTTTGGCGATGAATATGGGAGTGGTGTTACCTTTCGTCCCACAACTCCGGATGAGGAAGGGACTTTTAAAAGAGCTTGGTTCTTCTCTGTCGCTGGCGGCGAAGATGGGACCGTGCTTGATAGTTCAGTCTCATCTGGCATGATGGTAGGATAAGCGACAACCTGGTCCGCAGCGGAAGAATTCAGAGCTGTAGGATCGCTATTTCCTGTCCCTTCTGATTCGGTTCTTGGCTTGGAATCATTCGTGTCCAAAGGATGAATGCTGGTGGTTGATGCCTCATCAATAGGGCTACTCAAGTATCGTCTGACCGAGGGCAAAGTGTCGAGATCGATCATAGTAAATCCCTCACTTTCAAGCATAGTATCACAGACCCCATTGTCATGCAGACCCGGAGCATTTTCAACATCAAGAGGTTTCCCCGCGTCGTCAGAGTCCCCATGGTAGGAGGAAGTAGGTGAAGGAGTCGGATAGCTCAGCGCGCTGTTAACGGATACCTTCCGAACTTCCATCTGCTGCTTCATTGTCGTCCCTATTCTCTTTTCACTTGAGATCGAGCCTTGGTTTCCATAATCATTCTCTTCAATTGACTTGGTTGAAAGCGCTCGAGGTCTTAACGATACTTGATTTGGATCGATTTTGCGAAGTTCTGGTGAATCAGAATCTGCGATAGCATTGTCGTGGTCCACAGAGGCCTCATGATCTTCCACATCTGTATCTGTTCGCACCTCGAACCTTGGAGCATCGGAATTGGACCTTGAGGGCTTGGACGGGGAGGCTTTCTGCGTTGAGGACACCGCCCCGGAGACGCTCTTGCGCGAATTCCTCATCTTCCGTGGCGACGTCTTCTGTTTCAACCAATCGTCCTCTTCCGAATCATCTCCTAGAGGTATTATGTCCAAGTCTGTCACACTCTGTCTCCTGCTTCGACCCGAACTCCTGCGATCATGAAGGGGCGTTTCGCCTCTTTTGCTTTTTGTTGAATGAGATTTTCGCCCTCTCCCAGAGGTCTTCGATTGTCCAGCCTCGAAGGATTCGTTCTGTACTGATCTTTGGGTCGTGCGCGACCTCGTCTTGAATAGTGTTGCGTGGTGTTCCATGTCGCCGTCTTCCGGCTCTGCCTCTACAGTCACCCTGATCTTCCAGGGACTCAAATTCTGTTGTGAAACGGCTCGGAATGGAGAGGACGGAACTGCGTCGCAGGTGAAGGTACTTGTTTTGGCAGGTCTGCTCGTGGTCTTCATGGACGTGCTGGAATGGCGCTTCGGCGCGGATTGTCGATTGCCAGATGGGGTGCTGCCATGTGAGCGTTCATCGTTGATAGATGTTGCTAGAGGATCGGGCGAGCTTAGATCGTGATTTGCGTAGGAAGCCACGGAGGGCGATCGGGACATTTTGTTTGTGTGGAGGCCGGGGTAGGTATGCACGGATTCTTCCGTCCACGATCAATATACAACTCTCCAAGCACACCACCAGCATCAATCGGTTTGAGGAAGTATAGGACGCTAAGTGTTCAATAATAATCAATGCGTTTGTTTATTCGCCAAATGTGCAGTGGTCCGCTAAGATGAAATCATGGGAGTTGGTCGCAATGGGATTGTTTACTCCCATTTGTTTACAATGACGTTAATTCTGCATCTCCTGATTGGTTACAGCGGAGGCGCCTCAGCCTTGCCCCGAACACTCGCCTTACCATGGTCATTTTGTACTCCGCCATGTAACACGTGGCATTCAACTTTCAAAACGTCGAGAAATCGTATGTTGCATAATTCACCGCCGGTCCAGTCGTGGGAGAAAAGATCTCGTAGTTGTCGACCCCCCATTCGGGATGATTGACCCCATCAATCCATGCCTGCGTCTCAATCACAATGCATCCGTGCTGATTTACAAACTTGGTTGCCCCTTGTGTGCCGTTGTTTCTTTGCTGCTGGCTTTGCTTGACTGGGATGGTACCGTTTTGGCCGTTGCAGGTGTATATCTGGAGGCCTTGTTGGTTGGTTGATACGTCCAGCTGGATGCCAGTAGTCTCGGACCATAATGTGAGCACTGGGTAGTTTGAGGATGTCGGCCCTGCATTGCCTGGCCTGTCCAGGATGAAAGCATTATCGATTCCGGTGCATCCTTCGCCACAGACTCCGGTGGCGTTATCCATGGCGTCCCCCAAAAGCTTAGGGGAACGGAAGTCAAGGGCTGACACGTTCGAAACAAATCCTAGAGCGCCGGTGGGGATCAATATGGGATCCACGATAATATATCGGTCGGAATATGGCATCCACAAAGTAGTATCATTCAGAATTGTCGTCTGTTTGAAAGCATTGAGATTCCAGTAGATGTGGTTTGCCAACATGATGGGGGTCTCTTGATCCAGGGCTGACGAAACCATGCTGCTCGTCAATCGCGGTCTTACTTCACCCTGCGGACCACTTGGGAATGTGTCCAGTGTGAAAGTGGCGGTTGTCAATACTGTGCCTGGAAAGCCCTGGAAGCCAGTGTCAAGTAGACTGAAAGTAATGCTTGAGCTGGACGAAGCTACAACAGTCCAATTCCGTTGATCATATCCAACTGTGCCCCCGTGGAGAGTGTCGGCGCCGGCATTTTCATTGGCAGGAATGTGATAAGTCTGTCCATTCAAGGTAAAGGTGCTGTTCTTGATTCGATTTGCGTAACGGCCTACGACAGGGCCAAAGTAGGTCTGAAGTCGAATGAAACCTCGTGTCAGCAAGCAGAGCAAGCTCAAATCTCAACTTGGGCAGCACGACTACTGGTCAAAATCGGAACTTACGTGATTCGTTTCTGTGTCGGTCAGATACTGAGTGGCATTGTCGTAACCGGCCACAATGTCTTGATAGTCCCCGTTACGGTCTTGAACCAGTAGTGAGGTCAGGCGAGCTCCATAGGGAATGAATTTCGCCGTGATATTCTCCGCGGTCAAGGTATACACGGAGAAAGGATAGGCTCCTGTGGGGACAGAAGAGTTGGAGCTATTCTGAGCCAAAGCAGGAACTGCAATTGACGATGCCAGGATAAACCAGGAAAGTTGCGACCACATTTCAACAAGAAGGCTCGTGCCTCAGTCGTTTATCAAAGGTATCTCAAAGCCAGCGGAACGAGGAGAACGGCAAGGTAGAGGCAGAGAAACCATTCGATTTATACTTGGCGGGAGTTGTACATGGAGTTGGTCTGCAGGTTACATTGTAGTGATCCATCCGAGATGCTGCAGCAGGTTGGGTTGATGATGATCCGGTGGTGGAGCTGTATGGCTCTCCACCAGCAGGCTTGTACTTTGATCCTCTAGGAACCTGATGGTGAAAGCCCAAACCTCAAGGACAAACTGTGGGGAAGCAAGAGACAGAGGAGGTGTGTGGCCAAGTCTGGGGAAATCAATGACACCTTTCCTAGTGGTGGTGCTGGTCGTGTTGGTGGCGCCGTCGATCATATTGTTGATTGGGCGTCACAAGGTGTTGCGCCTTGTCATCCTCGGTCCATTGAGGGCCGGGATGCGGACAAAGGCTCCTTTTGAAAGCACCCACCGGCATCTTGCCTACTTGAGTCCTGCAGCCATGCTGGGATAAGAGGGAAAAGTTCACTATGTTTTTGATTCAATGCATGTATGTAGATTCTAGGCATGTACTTTCGCCATCTCCAATTTAATAGTATCGATTTGCTGTTGCCCACATGGTTGTACGCCCCATCCCTTCATGTTGATCGTGAGCCAAGTCTCATCGTCCATTCCAATCGTACTTTTTCTCATGGTACCCCTGCAGTCTTCCTCGGATCCACATCCACCAGGTGAATATCGAGATACACGGGCCAATCCGGTGCCAAGTTGCTTCGTGACTCTGACAAGGGCTTGAGCGCATCCTCGACGGCCCTCTTATCCATCTGGCCTTTGGGCTGACTCTCAATTTGAGCAATTTTCAACAAATCCTCCTCAAGCTCTTCGGCCATTAACCGGCTAGGTTGAGGTAGGAATGTCCCTTGGCGTCCTTGATGGGTGTGCAATGTCGCGTATGGGAGTGCGGGACGTGTCGCCGCTTTCTCGGCCAGGTCGCTCAGAGCATTGAGCCCATTCATCGCACCTATCGTTCGGGTAGACCTTGTGACATGCACAGTCTGACTGGCAGAACGATCCATCTCAGGAGCTTCAAGTTCTTCGTCCTCTTCGGACCCCGAGTCAGCAGATCCGTGGTCATCGTCGACTTTTTGGCGCCGTCTTGTGTTGCTGGTTTCGCCTTCCTTCCGTGAGGTCGAGAAGAAATGACGGGCTGCAATTTGTGCTTGGTGCGATTGAAAGTTGAGTTCTTTGTCAGTGAAGAGTGAGTGGATAGAGTACAAGGGTGCAGTTTGATTTGCCAGTGCTGCACGACTGCGGTCTCCCGGCGTAGAAATGCCGTTCCGTGACGGGGAACCGACATCATCATCCACAAGCTTGCGCTTACGCTTGTTTGTAACGTCTGCAACCCCGTTCATGTCCTCTTGCTCACGGTGCCTGGTAAAGCGTGTCTTGCGACTCGTGTGGTGGCCCCCAGGACTCGCTGGGTTGGTGATACTGAACTGACTGGGATGAAGGAGGAGTGCATTGGTGTCCGCAATATCAAGTTGTTCCTTCTCCTTCATCAGCCGTTGTCTTTTGCTAGAAAGTGCTTGAAACAATCGTTCTCGCAGCGTCGAGGTCATGTGTTCGCATTCTTCCGCAGCAAGGTGCAGACGGTAATCACATTCGTATTTCAGTCTCTCAAGACGGGCATTGTGATTGTTCTGTCTCGTGGTTAGCATCACGGTCTGGCGGACCACATCAGATGTAGAGTACCATAAGTTGTATGAGAGCTAGTTCCTTGGCCTCCTTCGCATCATTGATCTCGTGTACAAATTCCGCGTACCATTTTCCGGCCAACGAAGACATCTGAGACTGATACGGTGTACCTGAAGCTGCCAGCTCAGCAATCCTAGCCACCTCTTCGGGTGAATCTTCCAGAGGCTCGGGTTCATAGGGATCGGCTTGCGAAATGAGGCTCATGTCATGCTGCAGAGCAATGAGCTGTTCTCGGTAGTGCTGTTCACGATTGCTATTCAACTCATTGTGTAGCTCTTGCTGCTGCGCGACATGCTGACTCCTGCGCTTGTCTCGCTTCGACATTGGTTGTGTAGGAGGAGTGGGCGACCGACGGTGGGAGTATGCGGCGGCTCCGTCTGGACCAGCCAAGGGAGACGCTGGGGAGGGTGAGTAGGCCATTGTTTGAGACAAATCGACAGATTCGAATATAAGATCGTCCCCCAGACGACCTACAAGAGATGCAAGAAAGTGTCTAGGTATGAGATAACAAAGCACATGTGCTGTGTGAGAAAATTAAGGTCAAAGGGGAGTAGGAGAGATGCGATTCCGGGGTTGACGCACAGTGGGTCGTGGAGGCCGAGGTGCAAAGGTGCAAAACATGGCAAACATGACAAACAATTGAATCAGGTGGCACCAGTCAGAACTCAGTGAATTGAATTGGTGACAACAATAGGAATGCTTCACCTCTCCTTGTCGGCGCCTATTGTCAGAAGAATCGAGATTCACCTTCTCTTCGAACTCAATGACGGGCCTATTCATGCTAGATTCTATGCACAAATCAGCTTTCTTCCAAACACGGATCTTTACACCCCGCGGTCTCGGCCAACGGCAGTCCCTCTGGGCGTGCCACGCACCACGCTCAGAAGCCTTGCCCTGATTCTGCCGTGGTTCAGTCAAGAGGTGGGACCATATCTGTTGTGGGACGTATCTGCTCCTTGGGACCACCACTAGGCTTGCAGCATCACCAGTGCGCTCAATGCCCATGCGAGATGCAGATTCGAATGACAGACAACTGCGTCGAGTTGCTCGAGCCGGTGAAAATGACAGCAAGCACTCCGCCCAGTTGGGAAGACCAAGCAAAGTCTGAGGTGAGCTCTTCTATGCCCTGTTACTGTATTCATCGTAGCACATCCAGGTCCTTCAACTCGAGACCAATCGGCCGTGATTGTTAGGCTCTCACCGCTCCCGCCCCCAGACTTGGTACGAGCCTCCAGACGCGAAATACTCGGCAGACGCTTACTCCGCTACCCCTCTTCAATCCACTGGTTGTGTACATTAGGCATTCTCCTTCCTACTTGCTCACCCAGCATTTACAAGGCTGAAGGTTTAAACCTACGTGTCGGACCCTCGCCATTGGAAAGAGCAAGAGCATATTATCGAGCAGCACATCGCAGTTTCTACGTACACACTTTCGTCGCACAAAAGTCTATTGCAAGAGCATCGTTGTACTGCCGGCCCCTCGCAAGATTGCTTTTATTACTTCCGTTGAGGAACTTCTTACACATCATATCCCTATACTAACAGGCTTTCCTCTTTCCTACATCATCCGACATGGCCCCAACAGTTATCCATTCCGTCGTCTTGTTTGACGGCAATACAACTCACCTGAACGCAACTGTTGTCTTCAATTCGGACAGCGGCACCATCACATCTGTCTCGAGCGGTTCTAGCAGCGATCAATATCCTCAGGGCGCAACGGTCATTGATGGGACAGGCCACAGTCTTATTCCAGGGCTGATTGATACTCACATACATTGCACCAATGTGCATCTGCCTCCAGGAGCAGACGACTCGATGATCTTGCGATCTCCTCTGAAATGTGGCGTCACGACCGTCTGCGACATGCATTCTGACCTGTCATTGGTACAAAGATGGCGCACGGCCATTGCTGAGGAGCTTGCACAAGCCAAGCGAGCTGGCGGGACAGTCGCTTTATCCGACCTCAAGAGCTCGCTCTATGGAGCCACGATTGAGGGAGGGTGGCCTAAACCGATCGTCCTGTCGGGCCATCCCACGGAAGAGGTCAGTGTTTACTTCACCAGTACTTGCCAAATTCGAACCATGGCAGGAGACTGCGTCTCAACGTCCACCTCACTGACTACTTACAGGTGATTGAAATGGTCAAGAAATGGCCCAATTTGACACCAGAGACCGCGGCTGATTATGTCAAGAATCACAAGGCGAACGGGGCAGACTATATCAAGCTAATGCAGGAGAATTGCTGTTCGCTCGCCCTCCCCACGAACTCGATACCGGTTGCTACCCTTGAGCTCCAGACTGCGGTTGTCAAGGCTGCCCACGAGAATGGTCTTCCTTGTGTTGGTCATGCATTGAGCGCTGACATGACCGAGATTGTTCTCAAGGCCGGGGCGGACGGACTTACGCACACCTTCGTCGATCAACCATTGCCGGAGAACATCAGGGCGCTATACAAGGAGACGAACGCTTTTGTCATCCCGACATTCGTTGTATTGGCTAGCTTGACAAACGAACTGCAGGACGTGCGGGAGAGGTTTGCTGATCTCGCATTCAAAAAGGGTGTCATCGACGAGGTGACCAAGCAGAACATGATTGAAGTGCTCGGGATGAAGGCCCCAACTGCCAAGCTGGAATATGCATACGACACGGTGGCCAAGCTGAAGAAAGAAGGCATTGATGTCGTTGCTGGGACAGATGCCGTAGCGGGCCTCAAGGGCACTGGAATCGGACCCAGCCTGTGGATGGAGCTAGAGTTGTACACTCAAAAATGCGGCTTTAGCAGCACGGAAGCTTTGACTTCTGCAACGGCAGCGGCTGCGAAGAGGTTTGGTTTTGCTGACCGTGGAGAGGTAACAGAGGGCAAGCGAGCTGATCTTGTTCTGGTCAAAGGAAATGTGACCGAGAAGCTGCAGAATCTGTGGGAAGGTGAGGGCATCGTCGGAGTGTGGAAGGAGGGTTTGAAGGCTGCTTAGATTTGCTGGCCAAAGCACGAACAGACAGGTCAAATACTTCATCCTCTTGCCCAGTCGTTCATTTTCTTAACAGACTCCTCGCTCTTCTATTCGGTCTTTGTTTACTCACAAGAAGCTAAGACGGTGCGTGAGAGGATCCGTGTGGGTTGAAGGAGAGTCGGGAGGGCAGCGTTTTTCGTTTGCAGCCAATCTGACCCAGTAGGGGAAGCTGAAGTGTAGACTGGCTCGGATTGAGCATCATCGCAGCATTATTTGAGAAGAGACAATCTAACGACAGTCTGTTGACGAGAGCTGGGTGTGGATTTTCAGGAAGCGCAAGGATTGAGAGGGACTGCGGTCTAGCATCTTGAGCAAGGATAGCACCAGTGTTTGTGGTGGTTGTGTATATCTTTCCTGCCGAAGTCGTCATGATGTGATCGTGTTGATGGATGGGTGTGGAGGGTCAGAAGATCGATGAATGGTCCGTCTAGAATCCAGCATGCAAGGGCAAGAGTTGAAATCCGGGGTTGATGAGACTGTATTGGACGGTTGGTTACACAGAGATGCGAATGGGTGGCATGCACATAGAAACAAAGATCATCCATTTTGTCCCGTGGGCATTAAGCATTAGATTATTATTAGCTGCGCATATGGGCACTTACAGGACTTAGGTTCACTCTCCCATCTCATCCTCTTTCTGTATTACTTGCCCATATCCAAGGTTCACGACAAGACAAGACAAGACACGAGTACAATCCATCACACCTGACCGCGATCCGATGCGCCGAGTTCCTCCTCGCTCGCTTGGCCGGCTGCCAACTCTTCTCCAGTTGTAGGTCAATGACAGCCGGGGATAATGAACTCAGATAAGCAGCTAGACTTTGTTGCTGGCTTGCCGCATGGGAAACTACTGCATTGCTGCGTTGTCACTTCGGTACCGTCAACGGCCTCCGCCATCCGCCATTCACCATCCGCCAATCCAATGATGCTGGTTCACATAAACAGTCCCATCCCATCACATCTACATTTCACAGCGTAAGTCTACACAAGGTACTGGATACAACGTCTCTACCTCCTTTTTCTGTCCTCTATAGGTTGTTCTTTTTCATCCCCCCCCCAAAAGAGACCATTCTTATTCCTCACTATTCACGTGCCCCTCTGTCCCTCTGTTGTCGGTCTACCTTTTGAAGAATCCCCGAGATTACTCAAAAGAAGAAGAAAAAATGTTGAGTCAGAGAGAAGAAGATCTCGAGAAACTCGCCGAGACGTGCCTCGCCGCGGCCAAGCAGATCAAGCAGTACCTCGCCGACAACAACCACCCACAGCCCAGTTTCGACGAGAATGGGCCGTCGTCGTTCCCGCCCGCGACGCCCGACTTTCAACAGACCAGACTCGAGCTGCGCACGGCGGCCCGGCGCCTGTATGATCTGGCCTCGGGGCCGGACGATATTGTGACTTGGCATCTCTATCACTGTGTGGGTTGTTTCTCTCTCCAATGCCCAATAAAATGCAAAGCAAAACCTCGAATCGACGATATATTGTCCCGCTTCCTCTCCTCCCCGTTGCTTCAAAATCCATCTGCATGACATGACCCCCTCCTCCCCACCTCTACCTCTTTTCCTCACACATCAAAAGACAATTGTGTCTCACCAGCAGCCGGTGATGTGTGATATTCTCTACAGAACCATGACCTCAACGCCTTCCGCTACGTGTACCGGTACAAAGTGGCCGAGGGGGTGCCCCTGGACGGCGGCACCATCAGCTACCCGGACCTGGCGGGCAAGCTGGGCGTGGACGCGTCGCAGCTCAAGCAGATGCTGCGGCAGCTGATGCCGATCCACGTGTTCCGCGAGCCGCAGCCGGGCCGGGTGGGCCACACGGCGTCGTCGCGGCTGCTGGCAACGCACGGCGGCATCGCGACCTTCATGGGGTTCCTGGCCGAGGACACGTTCCCGCTGTGCGCGCGGCAGGTCGACGCCCTGGAGAAATGGGGCCACGGCCGCCCGGAGCCCACCCGCACCGCCCTCAGCTACTACTACGACACGGACCTGCCCTGCCACGACTACTACGAGACCAACCCGGCCGTGCGCGACCGGTTCGGCCGCCTGATGACGCACCTGACGGCGAACCCGCTGATGGCCAACGGCCACGTGGCGCGCGGGTTTGACTGGGGCAACCTGCCGCGCGACAGCGTCGTCGTCGACGTCGCCGGCAACGCGGGCCACTGCGCCGTGCCCATCGCCGAGAGCACCGACCCCAGCGTGCGCATCGTGGTCCAGGACCTGCCCAAGGTGGTGGCCGCGGCGCGGGACCCAGCCACCAGCGTTATCCCCCAACACCTGCGCGCCCGCTTCGACTTCATGGCCCACGACTACTTCACGCCGCAGCCCGTGCGCGGCGCCGCCGTCTACTTCCTGCGCATGATCGTCCACAACCACAGCGACGCCCTGGCCGTCAAGGTCCTGCGCCAGATCGTCCCCGCCATGACTCCGCAATCGCGCATCGTCATCATGGACCAGGTCATGCCCCCCGCCGCGGGCCTGCTCCCGGAACCGCTCGAGCGCATCAAACGCGCCCAGGACCTGCAGATGATGCTGCTCCTCAACGCAAAGGAGCGCGACGAGGCCGAGTGGGCCGACCTGATGGCCCGCGCGGGCGAGGGGTTGGTCCAAGACGTTTTCGCCGCCGCCACGGGAGAGCCCGATGCGGGCAAAAGCAAGAAATTGGGCATTGTGGCCGTGCGCACCCCGCCGGGCAGTATGATGAGTTTGATCGAGGTCGGGTTCGTCGATGATGGTGCCCCCGAGGCTGAAGTCGTCGCGGAGGATAAGACTCTTTGAATATTGAGGATCTGTTTTGCAAGGGAGGGGGGGAGGAAGGGGAACTTTGCGGCCTTTCTCTCTCTCTCACACACACACACCGGAATGGAAAACCAGTGACGAGATGGCAGTGTTTGGAGGTAGACAGCTACAGAGTGAAAACAAAAATACAGGTTCAACCATGAATGAATGTATTAATCATACTTCTACAAATGGATCCCTCGAGGTTCTTGCCCAACAGACCAGTGGAGACAACACGAGAGCTCCAACACTGACATACGACCAAAACCCACAGGTCGTCCGTCCACCACGGAGACACACAAGAGCTCAACGTAGTTCCCTCCCAAACGTCTGCCTTGACTCGGATTTATCTCATACTCCACCAAACCGGGCCTCGTTACTTTTTTTATTATTAGAGAATGATTGATACAATGTCGCTGTCCAGCGGAACCGAGAGCTCGAACCGGCGTGTTCGAAACAATACACCTCCAATCCAACACTAATACGCCCTCGTACTCAAGCAGTGCGTGGATGGTATTCCAATGCGTGGTTGACTTGTTGGACCATGGAATGACCAAGACAAGATTCTTTCGTCTCTTCAGTACCCGTTTTGTTCCATTTCCACAATTTCGTCAGGGTCTGTCACCCAAAGCAGCACTCTCCCTTGACTGCTTGCGTCCCGTGCTGCTTTCATACCTTCCTCAAACTCCTTCTCCCAGAAGTTAATGGATTCTCTGGTATCTCTTTCCGTCCATGTCTTTTGTACAAGAGAGTCCACATACGATGAGGCGATTCCTGCTTCAACGTATGTGTGTGGTGCCGGGGCGCCAGCGCCATTTAGGAGGTCTTCCGCCCACGAGTCATATTGGTGCTCGCGCTGGTAGTCTGTCATGCCGTCTTCCCCAATTTGGGTGTTGTCCAGCTCTTCGCGACTCAGGGGTTTCTCCTCAGCGAGTTGTCTGCCAGTCTTGACGGGTGTTCCACGCGATTGTCTGCTGGCGGCTCTTTCTGCGGCTAGCGCGCCTGTTTCGAGTTGTGATTCGATGAATTCTGATTCGGAGCTGGGTGGCGACGATGAAAGTGATCGTGCTTGCTCGCTCAGAGACAGCCGAGAAGATTTCGCGGGTTTGTATTTCTGTGCGTCGGATCTCGCCTTGTTAAGCCTGATCTCTTGGGTCTCGTTCACCATGATGCTGTCTGTATGTCCAGTGAAGCCCGAATATTCGAGCGGAGTATTTTGGGGGAGTTCTGCATGTGACATGCGAGGGGTGCTGGGCTGAGGTGGTACTTCTTCCTGTGCCGTCGCTTGATGTGTCGTGAGTGTGTCATCATCATCTTCATCTTCAAATTCATCTTCATCAGGAACACGAAAGTGGCCAGGTCGAGGATTTGCAAGGGATGGACGCCAGGTGTCATCGTTTGGATCGGTAACATTGGGATCAAGGTGGAATCTGGAAGCCACGTTCCCTCTGGTATTTTGCATAGTCGTCGGAGAGTGTATGTTGTCCACGTCAAACGGAAGAGAAGATGTCGAGTCCGGAGACTGACTTGAAAGGTCCGCAAATGTGCTGCCACGATACTCACCGGACCGGCCATACTGGCCATAGACAGCTTTGACCGAGTCAACTGGGTTGATACGCACTGATTTTACCGATCGTCCGACTGAACCGAGGTTTGTGGTGTTCTGTCTCATTGCAGAGCGCAGAGGAGTTTGGGGTAGAAGTTTGCTTGCGGGCGTTGCAGGTTGCGTCTCTGCTGATGATTCGCCGATCCCCTCGACCTCATTGTCAATATCAAGATAACTGTCATCAATTCCAAATCCGCCTCTTCTAGGGCCTGGGATCTGGCCTTCGACAGAGTTGAGTTTGCGCTTGTTGGTGCCTGGGGTTTCGGTGGGGTTGAACTCGGCTGCTTTACTTTCAGTGGTATCAGCGAGAGCGGCCATTTGTTCCCGACCTGCAATGGTGTTCGCTGTTCTGCGTTTCTTAAAATATTCTCGAGTGAGAATTCTGCTGTCCACGGAGGGAGAGTCATGAGAGGGAGATCCAGACTCGCGAAGAGTTATTCGTTGTGATGGAGTAGGACTGCCTTGATCTGAGAAGTCCTGTTGTTCTCCGGCAGTTGTATCTGCGTCTTGTGCTTGGTCTTGGCTTTGATCTGAGCCGCTAAGGCTGCTTTGTTGTTGTTTTTGGTGAATCTCATCTTCTGCCGGACCTTGGGTACCACCGCCTGTGAGGTAGCCTAGAAATTTCCTCACACTTCCCAGAATGCCAGCTGGGGTTGGGGTCGGAGCAGTTGGAGTAGGTGTTCTCGGTCGCTGAGGTCTCTGTCGCTCTTGTGACCTAGGACGTTCTTCCTGACTGGTCGGACTGGGTTCGGGGCTCGTGGGCTCGAAAGCGCGCTGGAAGAAAGGAGACTCGTGGCGAGAGGTGAGTTTGGGGGGCGCAGAGGTCAAGAGGCTTCGGTTTCGAGTCTTCGAGAACAAGAACTTTGGCTGTTCGGGTGTGACAGCCTTACGCCGCTTCGACACATTCTGGTCGGCGCCGTCATCTGTTTCTCGTCGCCGTTTTGTGCTCGGGGGCTCTAGATGGCATTGGCACGTCAGCTCAGCGTCCGTTTGGGTCCACGCATCTCTATACTGGGGTCTTGCTCGGGCAGATGTCCCGATTTCTTTCACCTCCGTCAGGGTAGACGGGTCCACGGCGAGAGATGGGCGGGTAGGACAATCAGAAGGGGCACAGGGAGAATAGAAGAAAATGAGAGGCGCCAGGGACGCAGTGCAGCCAGCTGAACGCGGTTTTCGCTCACGTTTGGGAGGTTGGTATTCCGAAAAGCCCTCGGGACGGGCGCCTTGTCCACGGGTATGGACCATGATTCACCACTGGGGGGGTTCTTGGATGCTGTTTGTGGGTGCAGGGGCGGATACAAACGACGACCATGACAACAATTGAGGTGAACGGGAGTCGAAAAGTTGACTACCATGTTGGGACTAGTGCGATATGTCTTGGCACGAGCCTCGATGTCACTGCGGCTTCCGAAGCGACGGGCTCAGTGCTTCGTTAAGAATAGGGAACATTTCACCCCCTGGTTTCCTATAAGCCATCTGGGTGTATCTCGGATCTGCAGGACGGGTCTAGGCAACCTCACAATGTCCTTCTTTCAACTAACGCAAGAATGTCGGTTTCAACGCAAAATTCAGAGGAGAGTACTTGTAAGAACTGAAAGGGAGTAATGTACTTTTCCTTCGACTTCAACACCGGCATTATGTTTATGTAAGGAGCACATGTTTGTCTGCTATTGAGTAGGGCTAATGATATTGTCTCCTGACGTCTTGGCCCTCTTTCGACGACGCGTCTCTCTCCTCCAGCTATGCAGGGCTTCTGATTTGTAAACTGGCGGGTCGTTCTACCCAGATACTGTCTAGGTGCCATTGTCTGCTCTCGAATCGACTCCCAACTGCAGCGTGGTGCCCATGCAACATGCTTCTTTCATCGCCTAACTTCCACTATCATTTGCACTCCCTGCTACCTTTTTCGCGGCCCTTTCAGACTTTCCCTTGATGAATCCCGACAGATCCCCCACGGGGAGCGTGAGTGGAAAGTCGACACATTCCAGCAATTGAACCGCGAGCAGATACCACACCATCATCGTAAGGGCCCACGTGAAAGCTCCCGCTGCCTAAATTTGGGTAAAAAAATGTCAGCATGAGGCTTGTTTAACGTACGAGGAGTCGAGTTTTGTGTGGCGGAGGCCACAGAGTATGGAGGAAGCTTGTGCTCAGGTCCGGGGCAAGGAGAGGAGACGCAATGCCACAACTCGGGACAAACTCACTATAGTCAGCTTGTTGCCCGTGTCCGCGTTTCCGAGTGCGAGATGCCAGAAAGCGCCAGCGGCACATCCAAAGGCAAAAATCAGGGTGAAAAGGGCAGAGAAGAAGACGACATTGGTCCGCAAAGCGCAGATGGCGAAAATGGTGGTGATCATAGCCAGAGAGACATAGTAAAATCCTGTTCACAGAAGGGACTGAATTAGCGGCAGGTAGATGGTTTGTGGCCAGGACAAACAAAAGACACGTACCGACAGTGGCAAAATAGGCCGGTTCAGTCATTCCATGAAAGTTGTCTCCTGTGGTGGAGTATTGAACCCCGACCCCAAACCAGGGAACGAGTTGAGTGCCGGCCACGATCCAGAAAGTGCCATAGGTGAAGAACAAGCACATCGAGAAGGTGTTGCCCAGAATCCATTCGCCGATAGCGCCCAAGATCTGGAGAATACCGCCGAAGAAGATCATTGTTGGGCTGTAGGGGACACTGTCAGTCATTCTGAGATAGACTCGCAGCAGGAACGTCCCCTTTGGAACCATCAATGGTGTCTTGAGGTCTCCTGAAAAGTAACGAGAGGCGTTGGCTCACTCACATAAGGGCACCTCCCAAACCTCCTGCACCACGCCAGCCCATGTTTGCGGCAGCATATGGAGTTGCGGACATGACGAACCCAATCAGAGCGGCGGGTGTCGGATTACCAAACTAGTACAGAGGGTAATTGTGAGACAGGCCAGCTAGAACTCGTGCATGGGGATTTTACCTTCTTCCTCAAGTCTCCGGGGACATTTCGCTCAGGTGAGAGGTAGAGCGCTTCGAAGACATCGCGAGGGAGGAAAACACTGTCTGCAGTCTGCACACGACGGAGGAAATCTTCCTTTGAATTCAAGTGGTTCAAGGGGGTTACTTTGTTGTCCTCCATTGTCAATAGAGTGTGTACGGCGTTGTCCTTGAGTAGAGCGACGGAAAAAACGACTATCTCCTGGGTTCTTCGAAGCTGAAAGTAAGAAACAGAGTCAAAGTGCTAGGGAATGGAAAAGAGAGCAGCAAGAAGCAAGAGGAGCCTTTGGGGTAGCCGGTCCTCTTCAAACTTTTTAAACATGTGTCGGACTTTCCACTTCCATGCCTAGTCGACACGGTAAATGCAATGAATCCACACCCTGGTTGGAGTGCTTCCGTTCAGGACAATACGAGTACTCGTAAGCCCGCCATGTGCGGCCCAGCAGCGGGGAGTTAGCGGCAGACCGCGACTGGATAACACAACATCTTTGAGCCCCGTGGGGATTGTAGAATTTTGCCCTGAATCGCGTCGAGGAGCCAGTAGGCATGGGAAGGAAGGGCATTCTGCGGTGAAAAGCGGGTTTGCGTCCCTTGGGCTGTGGGGGTGGCTACCTAGCTAGGCAAGGGCAGCCTTTGTCACGGTTGGTCACAGCTGATGATGCTGGGGTAGAAGGGGGAATCGGTCGTTCATTCTCCGTCAAAAGGACCTGTCCAGTGGCTGCAAGGATTTATGCAGCCGTATGCAGAGTGGTATGAGCATCACTGGGGACAACTCTCGCTCGATCGAAGCAGTGCATAGCCGCGAGAAAAAGCGAAAGAGACCCGAGTGGTAGGCTGCCTGGCTTGCTCGCCAAACGTGCTCCAGGGTCCTGAGATCTCTGCTTGTCACGACGATCATTCCCAATTCCCGGCTAGGTTTGCCCCTGGGTAGAAGTTCGATTCTCTGGAATACCCGGGTGAGCGCATGTCAGGGTATTCGAGTTGGAGAAAGACGTAGCATTGGACTTTCTCGGAAGTGAAAACGCCACATCATACGTTGCAGCTTGTGGGGAGATGGGGGTGGGGAGACTAGCGGACAACAAAGAGAGCTTCTTGGTGGATTGCCGGATCAGTTTCAGAAGGCGGTGGAAGAGTTAATGTGGTTCTGAAGTGTAACGAGTCAAGGAATGTGCGAGAGATGAAGAGATGAAGTTCAAAGAAGATTTGGCAGTCCAAGAAATCGCCAAGTGATGCTATAGTCAAAGTACATTGGCAGAATATTAGGATTACTCGCTCTGTTGGAATACGAGGTGGTGCTAATTACTGATAAGGGGCCTGCCGAGAAGGAGTCAGTGCGCCATTATTGCTTATCTACCTGACTACTCGGTACCGAGTATATACATTGAAGACCTGGAAGAGAATTGCTGATACAACCTGCTAACCACATAGGTGTCGAGGTTGGTATTGATGGCCTTCTCCACCTTCCACTTGCCCAACTGGTTCATCTCAGACACAAGCGAGTCAAGAGGCGCAACGATTCAATCGAAGAGATCCCGGCACATGGCGGCAAAACGGTTGTGGGGTTGCATACTCGTACAAGGTACATACATGGTACGACTTACCCCAGCATCGCTAGCGTCATGTATCCCCTAGAAGGACGAAAAAAGCCTTCGGACATGACATGGCGGAGGAAAAATGGCCGGGCCGCCGTCGGACAATAATAATGCAGTCGTTGTCGGACCGCTTCCGCCCTCACAATAATGATCCCACAGATCATCACCGGCGGAGTGTCGCCTAGGACAGTAAGACAACTATGTATAAGCATCCACCGGTTGCTGACCAAGTAACATAATTATGTATCTTGAACCAGCTTCCGTTTCTTTCGACAAGGTATCACCACCCTGGAGCTCAGGCCTTCCGTCACAACACCAAGCCTGAAATAAGAGTGATGACAAGTATGGTTGAGAGTCTTGTTATACGGCGATCAAGGCCGTGCAGCTGAGCAACTGCTTGATTCTGCGTCCCGCCTTCAACGCTGAGAGCGCCGCCGAGATATGGCTGAGAAGGTGGCAGAGACACACTCGCATCTTGGCTCGTCTGATTCTGCAGGACATTTTCTCGGAGAGCACACGATGGGCGAGTGCCTCTGGATGCCAGCTGCGTGGTGTTGGGAATGGAATTGGTGATTTGGATGGGGAGGTTGAAGATCGTGTAATATGCGGTTCCATTGAGTCGGAAGGACTGATGAATCGAGACCTGTCCGCACTGTCAGTATCCTGGGAAGCGCAAAAGGAACGTGGCTGATCGCACATTATACGAGCCTCTGGCAGAGGAAGCACCCGAATTCTTGTCACCATCACCGACGAAACAGTCAGGCCATGCCCAGTTGACATGCTTCACAGTACTGCCATTCTCTTGCGCCATGATCTCCTCACATCCCGCATTCTGAAAGCCTTGACTGGTCGTGGAGTTACAACGGAACTCTGGTGCTTCCGGGCCATCGCTCAACCAGCCATGACTGGTGCCATTGGATATCGTCAAGTTGAGGCCTGTCGCATAGCTGAACAGGAAGATGGTGATATTGAGAATGCCGGTCTCAACATTGGGAGAGTACGGAGGCTGAGGGATGCGGCCATTTCCGGAGATATCGATGGCGACTTGGAGGAAATCTGTGTACCGCAGTCAGTGGCGTCGAGATCACATTGAGCAATCCTATAATGCGTGTGCCAGTGTAAATTTCATGCCCATATGTACTCACCACCTCCTTCAGGCGTGAACGGTTGAGGCGCATCAATTATCGCTAAGCCTGGTGTGTATATTTGGCCGTTGACAATGGTAAATTTTGCTGTAGCTTGCACGCAAGTAAGTATCAAACAGGCGAGCACCAGAGCTCTGGGGAGAGAGGGAAGGGCCACCAAAGTCCTCATCTCAACGAAATGTAAGCCCTTGACATGACAAGACACTTCATAATATTCAGCGATACTGCGGATGCGAAGTTGCCTGCCGCGACATCGCAAAAGTTGGCAATTGTCGTTGGCGTGGCCATCAACTTCCTTGAAACCGCGACGCGGAACCGGCTTCTGGTACCCCCTGGTCAGTCAATTTCCTTCCTACGATTCCTTGATCGATGGCCCCATATTCCTCAGATAGACATTGTTTTGTGTGTTTTGGCTTCCAACATGTGAATCCAACACGACTGAGTCCTCGGAAGGAGATAAAGAGCCTCGAGGACAATGATATCTGAATAAGTCACAATAAATTGTGGGCAATGGATCTTTGAGGCAGCGGGGAAACTTTGGGTAATTGTGGCTCTCACGTGATCACAATTTTCAATGCTCTGGAGCTTTATTGAAACTCTTACACCAACCACGGTATCCTCACTGTCACCACTACGAGAGATTTCTATCTGGCTCACATGGAGCAAGTATGCGCACGCTGTGCGCGACTTGGGCTCAGGCCCAGGTCTTCTGCTCTCTCCATTCCACTAGCCACCAGTGCTAGAGGGTTCTCGAGCTCGACAGTCTCACACGATCAAGGTAGCACTCACATTCCCCCGTCGCACCGCATCATCGAGACGTCGTGACAATTGACATTAACATTATCTAGGCGATCAAAAGCCACCCCGCCAGCCAAATGACAGGCCTCTACCTGGTACCTCCCTTCGCGGCGCACTCGATCGAAGCACTCCCAGTGGATCGGCATCCCGACCGCAGGCAGGTCGACCTGCAGGTCCGATTCTACGACGCACAGCTACACCACGAACACAAGCTTCTGGTCCCCCCGGGACCGCTGCTCGCACCGGGACCGTTCCTGGAGCAGGGGGAGCAACGCGTGCACCACCACCTGGTCGTCTTCTCCAACGCACAGGAGCTCCTCGTCAAGGCCAACAATCTCCAGTCCGACGACCGGCTGCTGGGCGGGGTCAACAACCACAGCAGATACAGTATGGCGCGCAGCAACAGGCTCAACGACAAGGCCAATCCAGGGGATCTGCACCCGCTGGCAAACGCACCGACCGCCGTGTCCGCCGCCTCGTGGAGAAGACCAAGACCTCGCTCGCCGAGGAAGAAGACGCGGCTGCCTTCGCCGCCGAAGACCTTCCCAGCCGTGTCGAGAACTACATCAACACAATCGTCGACCCTCCAGCGAACCCAACAACGGAACTGCCTCACTTGCCTGGAGAAGAGCTCTCGGTGACGGAACTGCGCAAGGATTGGCCAAACACGCCACTCACCAACTCGGGCCTCGTGGAAAGCGTGCAACAAAGGATCGAGTGGCTCGCGCATCGGATCCCGCACGGCTACCAGACACCAGGCCAGCTAGCCGAGTGGTACACTAAGGGGTACTTTACCCGCTTCGAGTCTGAGGCGGAGAAGGAGGAGGTCCTGAAGCTCGCGCAGGAAGTGGCCAAGCTCGAGGCCGACAAAGAGACCGAGAAGACAAATGTCGAGGTCCAGCCCAAGGACATGGCCTTTGAGGACGTGGTTGCCCGCGCCGCCGAGCGCAAGGGCCTCGCCGACACCTACGCTCGTGGCGTGTATCCCGAGGTCAAGAAGCAGAAGATGCCGTTCTTGGACCAGATTGTGCGCAATCTCAACAATAACGCGACGTTTCCCCACGGAAAGACGGAGCAGTTCATGCAGACGGTCCAGAAGGTCATCGTGTCGCGTGCACAAGCGGGAGGGGGGACTCAAAAGAGAGCCGAAAAGTAGAGTCGCTGTAAAATATCACACACATGCAACTAGAATAGTAGAATGGAGATCCCCTTTTTTTTTGAGGTACATATTCTCCTCAACCTGGAGTGGAAGAACTGCAACCCTCGAAAATATCATAGCTGAGCCGCACAAAACCCTGGGTGGTCATCGCCATCAAAGGCAACAACAACAACAACAAAGAGAATGGTCAACGTGAAAATGAACGTAAGGTAACGTGCTAGTCAGCCGTCCATGACCGTACCGGTCGATACATCCTTCCTGGCACAGTCGACCTCAAAGACATGAAGGGCCTTGGCTCTCTCATCCAGCTCCATGCCTTCGACAGGTTCAGAGTCCTCCCATCAACTAACACATCGATCGCTGTTATGTCCCAAGCTCACTTGTAATGCTGGAAGGCAGACATTATTGACGAGAATTTCATCTCGACACAATGGGCAGGTCGATTTGCCCTCGCGAATCAACCAGACAACCAGGCACCACCTGTGGAATATGTGACTGCACGACAAGTTGTAGACATATTCAGCTTTGCCAATGGGATCCAGCTGGCAAATGGAACATTCGAAGACCCTCTCCTCTATACCGCCGGTATCTCCCTCAAGTGCTTTGAATGTAACCAGTGGGCATGGTTTCATCGCGTATTCTTCGCTGTCGAATATGCATGCCTCTTGGACTTCAAGAAAGCGGTGTTGCTCCAGCATGAACAGACCAAGAAAGCAGATTGCTGGCAAAATATTTCCGTCCATGGTGACTGACGTGATTCGTAGGACATGTATCTAAATGGCCCAGGACACCAGGACACCGTAGTTGATCGCTTCAGAGGTGGTCACAGTCGTAGGTCTCCATTTTGCTGTAAACTGAGGAACCTGCACAGTATTGATCGCGGTGCAACAGACCAGCTTCTTCATGTCGTTCAAAGCAATCATGGTAAGGACGGGTGCCAGAGTGATGAATTTGAGGCAGAACTGATCCTGACCACTCAGCTCATGGTCGTCTCTGGAGAATCGAACTCCATCGAACACTTTGCATAGGACACCGACTTTGCGAATCAAGGAATGTAGATGATAGCGAAGGGCATAGTCAGTCAATCCTTTTGTTTTTGCCGTGATGCAAGGTGATATGCATATAGAGAGTTCATAGAGAGTGTCTTCTTCTTGTATTTTGGCCTCGTCCATATTGTCTGGTGTGAAGGGAAAAGCTGACGATGGTGGAGATGTAAACAGCAGAAGTAAATGAAGGGAACGAGTGACGATACTAACTGACTAAATGAAACAGGGTTATAGAAGATATGAGCAGTGAAACGATATTAAAGACTGTTGTGAAGAGATCCGAGAGGTGGATGAAGATATGCGCGGATAGAGGATAAAGGATTGTCTGTTTAGACTAAGAGGAAGGAGCATTCCAACCTCATGACCGTCTTATCAGCTCAAAACTTATCCCTGATGTTGAAGAGGGACTACAGCTCGTTTTGGAATCAGACCGGCAGCATGGGAAGACGTACGACAAATCAACATACTGATTTCAAGGCTGCAGACATGCTTCCGGTTCCATTTTCATTTCATGCCAGTCCATCATAAACCCATGTTCCTACCTTATCCTTCGTCCTCCATATTTGTATATGGTCACTGACCACCACTTCAGGGAAGATCGTCTGATTCGCGGTGCAGACGCCAATGGCTCTTTCGAGGGCGTTGTTTTGTTACCAACCCAGTTCTCCTGCGATTCACCCTTTTGTTTGGTGACTGGACTTGTTTGGTACTTTCCATGGTTGACCCGACCAGACGTTCTCTCCCGTCAACTCCCTGGCGATGATCTGATTGTTTTTGCACTGCGCTGCTCTCGTCGACTCCAGTCATCTGTCCTCGAGGCTTTCTGATATCGTTTTTCCTTGATTGATTCGCAATTGAGCCACCCAGAGGTGCACCAGTGTTGATGCGTACGACTACGTCAGACACACACACAGGTTCATGGCATACTGGGCATTGGCTGAAACTGGCAACAAAATCCTCCCACATAGCAAATGAAACCAGTGGGATTTGCTGCAAGGGAGGTATAACAGGGTCTCGCAATCGACCACCTGCCTCTAGCAGAGCACACAATCTGTGCCAGCCCTGCTAGGCCCAGCCTCTAGAAGCCACTGTTGGAATTTTGTGTCCGTGCGGAAATGTCTTGAGGATCCTGAGTGAAGGGGTATTACATCGAGAGAGTCGTTCCCATCTTCGAGTCGTGAGAACATCATCCTGATGTTCGCATTCAATCTTTTGAAGAAGGCTACTACAGTAGTAAAGAGGTAGCCGAGCCGTCGCGAAAGGACTGTGAAAGATTAGCGAAGATCGACAGCAATGAAAATAATGCGGCATCAGAAGACAATAATGCGGCATCAGAAGAATGAAGCGTGCGAAAGGCACGACAAAAAGTGAGGATTTTGACCGAACTGCATACATTGGAGACCCATCCAGCTTGCCAACCAGCCTGTCAACATCGGAAGAGCCAGGACCACGAAGAGCATAAAATAAAAGCAAATCGCAGCGCCTATTCTCCGAAGACACAGGACTGCGTCTGAGATGATGCCGTCAAACAACTGAATCCCAGCAGAGGCTAGATACCGACGCAGCAATCGAAGCTCAAGGAAGAAGTGGTGGATGACGAAGGGGAGGCATTTAAGAAACCTTCCCACCTGGCTTTGCGGAAACTTCAAAGGCGCACCATTCATGACCCGCGTGGAATTTATTGAGAAGATGACAATGCTCTGGGTGGAGTGAGACAAACAGAACGATACAAACACAATGCAGACCTGGATCAAGGGGGCCACAAAGCGGACGAAGGGAGGCATTGTGCTGAATGTAGATGTTTCTTAACGCTTTTGAGACGAATGAAATGGTAAATCGGTAGATAAGAGAATGAAGGCTCTTGAAATGCAATGCTTGACAAGCCGATGACAGGTTCAGCCAAGGAGAACAGATGCGCAAAGAGGGTATATCCATGGAGAGATCCAGCCTGGGCCAGGACGTAACTGCCATCGTGTGGTACCAGGTGTAACGGTAATGTGGAAGCTGCAACAGAGAGAGCGTCAAGAAAATGGGCGGCGGCACAAGAATCAGGTGGTTTAAAAGGAGTTGGCCGATGGCTTTGACGGCCACTGACGATTTACCATAGTGACACCTCTTGCGTCAAGGTTGTTTAGAGGTTCTAGTTTGAGAACAATCTTGTACAGCGCGTGCCTTTGCACATACCTTATCGCTATCACCACGTGACCCTATTCTCCTCATCGCTTGTCTTGATGACGGAATCAATGCATGTGAACGATGGTCGCTTTCTGATTAAATCTCAACCTGTCCCCCTCATACCCAGTATATAAGGATAGCTTCACTCAGTAACCCTTTCTGAGAAATCAGGGTACCATAGAATCCTTATCCACATGGCTCTCCCACCAAAGTTCTCCGGTCAGCTTCTGGCCTCGGCCTCCAGCAATGAAGCAAAGCACACCATCGAGCTTTACTTGGACTATGTCTGTCCCTTCTCGGCGAAGTTGTTCAAGACCTTCTACAAGAGCGTTGCACCCGTCATTGAGAAGAAGTACACCAATCCTGGCGTCCGCGTCATCTTCCGTCAACAGATCCAGCCCTGGCATCCTTCTTCTACCCTCGTTCATGAAGCCGGTGCTGCCGTTCTGAAGACCGCGCCCAACTCCTTTTGGTCGTTTTCGGAAAAGCTGTTCGAACAACAAAAGGATTATTTCGATGTCAGCCTGGTGAATGAAAGTCGGAACGAGACGTACAAGCGGCTTGCTAAGCTGGCCGGCTCTGTGGAAGGGGTGGACGAGAAGACCATTTTGGACTTGTTGTTGGTCCCCGACAAGCCAGACAAGGACGGCGGACTCAACATCGGGAATAAGGTCACTGACGACGTCAAGTTCATGGTCAAGGCGAACAGAGTTACCGGTGTCCATGTCACGCCAACTGTCCTGTTCAATGGCGTAGAGGAACGCAGCATCAGTTCCGGTTGGACGATAGAGCAATGGGAGGAGTGGCTGCAAAAGAACGCGAGTTGAAAAAGAGAAGCCAGCCCAACAAAGAGTCGACGGAATTCTGACATGGGGACCAGAGTCGCCTGCAGATCATGATGAGTAGCGTACAAGAACACCATCCATTCTTTCATGGGTTTCAGCTAAGTTGGTGGTGGAGCTGAAAAGGCTATGCTAAACCTGATTGACCACCAACATCTTTGTGCCTAAATTCTTTGGCCGCCGTTGGATCCATTCGTCAAGACATACACAAACTGGTACTAAGCACACCCGCTGAATGCACATTTGAACACGGTTCCTGTGTTTCCGGAGAAAACGCCCTCCCAATGCTGCGCTAGTTGGAGAAGTGATTCGGATGCAATTGTGTCAAGATCAGTGGGCAGGAGGCTGGTATCCAATCGGTCGTCTGCTCATCGTGTTAACACCTGGGGACAAATGTGAGGTTCGCCAGACCTACTTGAACAGGAGGATATGTGGTTCGGGTTCGTGAACTTCATAGTGCTCCCATCCTAGACTCTGCCGAATGTTCAGCTGAAGTGTAATACGTATCGTGACCGTCTCAAATACCTGTGTGATCCCCAGTCCTCTCCATTCCTCTTCCCATAGCAATTTCAACGTTCCCTTCGAGTCGTCAAAGTAGTCTCTTGGGATGACCTTCAACATGGCCTTTGGGAGTTGCACATGACGGTATTCGAATTCGCTGTCAGAATATCTGGCGCCTGTTAGCCTCAGAACAATGAGCAAATTTGGTGAATACACACCTCGCCGAATATCCAATACTGTCAATGAACTCCTCCAGTCGCGCTCTCTCGGACTCGAGCAATAACCTAGGCTTCTTATTCCGCCTTGACATGTCAATCTCGGTCATGTTGCAGGATTGTGAGACGCGATCGGTGGTGAAGACTCTTGAGGCGAAGTGTCTCTCGCTCGGGAGACGTGATGAGGGGTAGTGAAGGAGTACCACGCGGTACAATCGTTAGCGGTGCTTAGGTAGCTGCGGAAATGAATTCGCGAAATGGTCTCGTGCTCTTGAGCATGCAAGGGCCGTAGATGTGTAGAACGCGCAAGTGAAAGGTGCGAATAACGACCGAGCGATCTGTGGAATGTGTCGGTGTCAGGTTTCGACCCGGAGAAGGTCGTTTGGAAACGGGCTGTCGCGAGGGGGGAGAGCAGAGGACTGCGACCTGCGTTTGTGTTTGAGGCGGATAGTCCCAGAGGCTCGCCGAAGTAAACACAGATTGGGGGAGCCAAAACCCAAAACACCAGCCTATGGGAGAAGGTGCGTCTGCCAAGATCTCGCGGATAAACTCAACTTCGGATCAAGCCGATGACTTGCCAGATAATCCGGCCTCTGTCACGTGTGTTGGGTTTTTCGCCCTCCTCTCTCGCAGCGAAGACTGACAGTTGCGTGTGTCGCGTCCCCGTTGAGATCCTGTCACCCCCAAAAAGCGTGAAGGGCGAGCGATGGAAGTCTCCCCAAAGCGCATGCAACTCCTACACCATTGAATGCTTTCGCAAGGGTCCCGTTTGCCCTGTTCACCTCTCTAATAGCAACTCCCTGCATTTTGCACCTGATGGTGGCCCCTCCTGCACCCGCATCCCTCGCCCAATCTCGAGACCTTGTGAGGCCGCGAAATCATGAGCTCGAAGCGCAGAAGCGGCCATGCAGGCGACCCCGACGACTTTCTAGCCACGCCTGATCCCAAGCGACGCAAGCGGAGCGACGTAAGTATTAAAATAATCCTCTCTCACTCGCTCAACTCCCACTTCCCACTTACCACTGCACTTCTCGACCGTGCGCAGAGTTGCGGAACCCCCGCCTTGTGCACCTCATGCTACGTGCAGCGTCGCCTGCACTTGAGATGACCGCAGTGCTCTGCATCGACCGCATTCGCAATGGTTGATGCATCTGGACAGAGATTTGCTAATCCAGTCGTATGTAGGATACCCATTTTCCTGAGGTAGAAACCCGAGAGACCACCGCAGACATTGGCTTGAGACTCGTCAGGCAGTTGAAGAAGTCGCAAGACAAGAATGGCCGCAACGTCGCAATCCATTTTCTGGACCTGCCCAGCAGGGCCGATTACCCTGACTATTATCAGCAAATTGCCATGCCTCTCTCCCTCAACATGATCGAGCAGCGGCTGGAGAATTATGAATATGAAAACCTGGAGGCTCTGGAGTCAGACCTGAAGAGAATGGTACAAAATGCAAAGGACTATAACAATAGTCGATCCTCAATCTTCGAGGATGCCGAGCGCATACGCAAGGCTTTGTCCAATTTCATGCCAAAGCACAATCCGGCGTATTTGCGACAAGATTATCGTGCTTATCCGACTCCGATTCCACAAGACCTGCTTGATCGGGTGCGACAGCAGTCCGTCTCATCAGAGGGGACAATGGCTCCAGAGAGGGTCAAGCTGGTCTTTCCCAATCCTGCGGTGAGGCGACGCCAAAGTCAGGCAACGCCATCCACTGACACCCTCACCGACACGAGGGAAGATATGAGGCAAGAACAGTTGAAGTTTCTGCGGGAACTGTCTGAACAAGACGATGCAATGTAACTCACTCCATTGAAGACCCTGTTGATGGTGACCACACAGACTGACATTTCTTTTGTTGCGCAGCAACTTTGAGGAAAAAGTCTCCAAAAAGGACTATCCCGACTATTACAGGTTGGTCAAGAAGCCGACGTCTATATCAGACGTGCGGGCGATGGTAGAGAGGGATACGATCCAGGATTGGGACGCGTTGGCAAAAGAAGTGCGACTCATCTGGGACAACGCAAAAGATTACAATCAAGAAGGGTCCGACATCTACCTGATGGCAGAAAAACTCGAGGTATGTTGACTTCTAGGCGTGAATCGCGTAACGTGACAACGCGCTAATATCCTTTATCGTGTTAACAGGTCTGGTCGGAATCCAAGATGCAGTCACTTGGTGCTCAACCAAGACGCAATCTCAAGCTTTCTTTGTCACAACCAAAACCAAAGGCTCTGCGACTGACAATGGGTTCGTCTACGCCTACACCCAACGTGGTCGGTGGTACGATCGACAGCGAGTCACTCCGACGACAGAAGGAAGAGATGGGTCAAGCCTTGAGCAAAGCGCAGAGGGCAACTTCGAAGGTGGCACAAACCAATGGTTCAACCCCAGTGCCATCAAGCGCCGCTCCCAGCGTTCGTCGAAGCGCCTCACTGGCTACAACTACTGAGCAACCTGATGCAATCGCGAACGACGTCAAAGTCAACGGTATCGCAAGCACACCCCAAGCTCAAGAAGCTGTGAAAGCCTCACAACCCCCTGTGCAAACCCCAGCACAGCAGCTGCCAACCCCTGTTCAAGAAGTCGACATTGACCTCCCGAATACACTGCCTCTCACAAATGGAAACGGGCATATCGAGTCCTCTGTGCAGCAGCCATCTAGCCCTACAGTGAGCACGAATCCATCGGCACCCAATGACAATTACTTGAATCAATCTGTGATTCCCATGGAGCGACGTTACCGTGACCCAGGCAGAGGTAAGTTCAATCTCACTCTTCTCATCTAATCTTTTCATTGGCGTCATCCTGCTGACACTGAGTCCGCTACACTCTCAGGCTGGTCCCACGCGTTACTCGCCTCTGTGACATTCATGACCAACCCTTCTTTACCGAATGACCCACGCTGGAAACTGGTCCGTTACGGCTCGGCCACCAAGACCCAGACAAGTGGCTTCATCGCTTTACCTGCACATTACCGCGATCTTCGCATCATCCCCTCGACCACTCCCGAACTAGCAAATCGTCGCCGTCATCGCATTTTTTTCATGCATAACTCAACTGTTTACAAAGAGAGCAACAGTAATCATGTGGAAGGGGCTTTTGAGGTCAGGCTCGTTCCAGGAGAGAATGTTCTTGTTGTGGAGGTGTTGGCAGATCTGAGGGAGGGAGAGAAGAAGACGTATGCACCCAGTCAATTGCAATTTGACTTTGAGAGGTGCACCTTGATTGTACATCTCAACACAGCCTAACATAAGGGAAGGGTTTGCAATGAGATTAGGAAAGACATGTCTCGGTTCAAATGACTCGGAAAAAGGAATTGGCAGTGCGGCGAACTGCTTTCAACGAGCTTGACACATGCATGGAGTTGCATTTAAGTACGTGCGTTCTAGGGGCTTCAGCGCCAGTGTTTTATCAATGAGATTGAAAAAATGCCTTGAAACTCACAAATCCTACCGCTGTTTCTCTTGTCCGGTAAGCACCCACTCGAATATTTCTTTGGACCAAAGGGCAATGGAACGACGACCATCAGACCGCACACTAATGTCGTACCTGTTTCCTTCATATGATTGAACCATCTATACAGAGTCTTCGGATGTGTGTGTTCAAGCTGGCTCGACCCGATCTTCAACCGAACTCCCCCCTTCTTTCTGAATTGAAAGCCCATCTCGTGAAAATGATAGAGTACAAACAACAGTATAACAGGTTCCCTGTCCTACTTCGCGGCCCTGGGCCCCGCGACACCAGCCCCAATCACACTGGGTAGTTCTTGCGAACCCATGCTGTAGAGCATTCCGATGGCCCCGGCTACCAATGCAGTCATAACCACGCCGAAGGTAGCGAACATGACGAAAGGCACGGAGATGTCTTTCTTTTGACACGCGTTTCCGCCCCATGTCACCGTCTTCTTGGTCCCGTCTTCGTTGATCCGGACAAGAGTAGACGTGCAGCGGCACTTGAAGCAATTGGTGTGGGCTTTGTAGCAGGAGCCGTGGCCGGAGCACGAGTTTGTGGTGTTCTCGCACGCGGACTGTGAAGCAAAACAGGCGGGGATCACAGAGGGAAGGGTGAAGTTTGAGGAAGTGTTGGCCGGTGTGATTGTGTCAAATCCAGAGACGGAGGATGGGGTGGGCGACGTAGATGGCAGGTCCAGGCGTTCCTCTTCGGACGTTTGTGCGGAGCGGGCAACGTGCTTGTGGTTGTTGGCATTTTTCTTCTTGGGATTCTTCAGTTTCTTCGCGGAGGGAAGCAGGAGAATGGTGGATTCGACGTTGTCTGTGGCGGAGAAGTGCTTCAGGATGCGCACCAGGCCGTTCAGCTGGGTTTTGACACCCGACGGGTCCGTGGGCAGAAAGCTATGGAGGGAGAGAATGATTGGGATATTTGGGATCTCTGAGGCCGCCAGGCATCTTCCATTTTCGGCTGGATAGGTGAAGACCACCTCGACACCCTTGCTTTGGGGAGCATTGCGAGACGGCGGAACTGCATACTCGCAGAGCCCGTCTTTCTCTTTTCGGCTTCCGTCAGATACCGCCTTGAAGTCACTGAGCAGGTCTTTTGTCGGATCCGAGATCCATAGATCAGGCATGGCCATATCAAAGTCACTGATCTGCATATCCACCCCCGTTATTCTGATGAATAGCTTTCCTGGCGCATCTTTGGGATGGCTCTCTCCAAACAGGGGTGCTTGGTATCCGCCATAGGTATTGAGATCTTCAAGAAGCATTGAGTCTGTGATCCCGAGGTATCGATCCGCAGTAAGGGCTCTTCTTCTCGCGATAACAGCGCTGGCCATTTCTGAATCGATCATGCCAGTCGAAGGGGCGGCGATGGAGCGGTCGATGGTGAAGAGGTATGCGCCTTGAGCAGCGACATAATGTGCGAGTGCTGCACAGGGCAGGAAGACCGATAGGGGCTTCATGGTCAGTGTAGCCAGCTGAGAGCCCAATATTGAGCTGTTGATTGAAGCTGGCGGCACTACAGAAGACAGAGAGCAGCAATACGTATGGGGGCAAAGGCACGGATAATTGTTTCGGCCTGAGCTAGCGAAGGACTGGACCCTGACACGTGCAGCGTGCAGCAACCCCTCGTCCCATCACGATATTTCCAATTCAAGGCCGTGAAATTCCAGTCTTCCTCTCTTCGTTGGCCGCGCAGCATTTGATTTCATCTATTACGAGCCATATTCTTCCTTTCCCGTACGGGGTCACTGCTCCGACGTACTTCCGCGCTTCCTAGGGAGAGAATATTGCGCATAGGTTCAATGTCACCGAGCACGGCCACTTGTCGACCACACATTAATTCCTCCTCGCTACCATGAAACCAACTGATGCCTCGAGCTGCCCCTCCACATGCTTCGGTATCTATTCCGTAGCCCGCGGAGCGTTCGCGTGCCACTCCAGAATGGGCCAGTCGATCTTCAGAGGGTCGCAATAACCAGGAGATCTAGATCAACGTGCGTGGTGTCGCATCTGAAAGCCTTCCAGATGTTGAATATTGCTAACAGTCGACAGCCCTATCCTTTACCGATTTTTCACGACGATTGCACTTACCTACTGTGCTGCGAAGACAATCAATCACTACTTCCCGAACAGTGCGCACGGATCTAGGCCCCATGTTGAGTCTGTCAAGAAGACGCACGAATCTGAAGATCACGAGAGATTATGGCAAGAATACTTGGAGAAGGCCAAAGCGAGTGGCGTAACGACTTCTCCCGAAGCCATCCATTTGATGCTGCCGATCTGGATTCGGCGAGCAAAGCCCCAACCATGGGAACCCGATGATCCAACCTGGAAGTCGTTCCAAGCTCTCCAGGAAGATACGAAACGCCTGCGTGAAATCACAAGGGCGATCCAAGAATCACTGAAACAAGAGGTCGTCAAAAAGTATGGTCGTGTCATGGTAGAGCTCGGAGGAAATTTCGCCTTCCACGCCGGATGGAGACTGGCTCCGCCTCTGTATGCTCCGACAGCGTACGAAGTCCCATGCATCTTCTTAGAGCCCGACAAGATCAGCTATGGCTGGAGGCAGCTACCGAATAGTATGGGGGGAAAGATGGACCGCGTCTTCCATCCAATTGTGCTGGCCAAGGCCTTTATCCATGGTTTTGGGGAATTTGCCTGGGCTTCATATTTGATCACCCGGGCCCGTCTCGTGGATCGACTCAATTCCCTCAGCGCGAGCCTTAAAGACTCGACCACGCAGCAGCAAACCCTCAGCGAAGACGAGAAGGCCCACAAACGGTTGAGTTTTGGGAAAGTATCTGAAGAAGAAAAGACAGTCTGGTTACCTTTTCTTCGTGGTGATTACGGTGAGCACGACTCAAGACGGGCTTACCGCGATCTGGTCAAGTCCATGACGTACCAGGGTGCAATCGAGTCAGGGTGTGCAGTGTTCCGAGCATATTGGATACATGGGCAAGAAAAGGTTATGCAATCGTACACTCGAGACAGCCTACTTATGGTCGGAGAGATAGCATTCGTGGGGGATAGGGGGACGCTTTTTGTGCACGCCGTGGCGGTATACTCTCCTGAGACCGATTCTCTCATCGGTCCACCCCTCCTCAAACATGCGTATGTTGTCCCAGACCGAGCGAAGTGGGTGGAAGACAAAACGGCCAAGGCCGAGGGCAAGGGTCTGCCGCAGGCTGAAAGACAAGAAGAGACGAAGTTGATTGCTCAAGACACTCTGAAACCTTCGACAGAACCTGATGAAGCACGGACGGCGGGAAAGCCTCCTTCGGCCGAAGAAAATGAAGAGAAGGATAGCGAGAAATGATTTGATATCCCCTTGCTTTATGCACAGCGCAAGGCGTTGCTCATGATCTGGAGCTTAGGGCAATTCTGATGGACTTCTTGAGATGATGTTTGTGCCATGATATTTTGACCCGAGTGTTGGCAGAGGCTGCTTCCTGAAAGTTATCATCTGCTTCGTGCGAGCGACTTCTTAAAAAGTGTTAGTAGTGAATTCATTTCAATCACTCTCCCTCTCCCATGTCTTTCCTTTCTTTGGCTCAGTCTCATCCAGGCCCAGCACGCTGACACTGCCATTCTACAGCAAGGGAACCTTGAAGTTTGGAACTCGTGCCACAGTGTAAACTCCTCCTGTGACAATGCTGGGACACAGCCTCAGATCCAGCGTCGTCTCCGTCTGGCTCTACTTTGTCCTCAACATGCTCGTCACGGTCACGAACAAGCAGATCGTGTCCCGGACTGCGTGTCCCTGGCTCCTCACGGCGTCGCACGCATTCACTACGTTTGTCACTACGGGGGCGATTTCGCGGCTCCAGAGACCCAAATCCGCCTTCGCACCCTCGACAACTACGACCACGTCGAGCTTTGTGTCACGTTCTCTGGTCAACGATGGACGCCTTGAAGAAGAGGGCGATGATGACGACGAGGATGACCACAGGTACCGAGTTAGAGAAGGAGATGGCACCAATCTCAGTCTACGCGTGCACCTACGAGTTCTTCTCCCCTTTTCTCTCCTCTACACGCTGAACATCGCCCTGTCCAACCTGGCCTTGGGGCTGGTGACGTTGTCCATGCACCAGACCATCCGCGCGACAGCCCCGGTCATCACCGTGCTGGTCTCTATCGTGTGGCTTGGAAGCACGTGGAGAGAATACCCGGCAGGAGTGTACGGCGCGACGGGTCTGACCATCTGCGGCGTGATCATCGCGACCAACGCTGCGTCGTCGACCAAAGGCGTCGGCGACGACAGAGCAGGTCTCGTTGTCGACCCATCACGGACAACCGCATCCGGCTTCACGGTCACGTTGCTCAGCGCCGTCTTGGCCGTGCTCAAAACCATCTTTACCAATGAACTGCAGCGCCCGCCTCGCGCCAGTCGTTGGGGGTTGGGTCTGCCCTCGACGAGACTTGTGCAATATCTCGCACTCTACGCCGTGAATCAGGCGGTGCTCCTCGCAAGCTGGGCCGGTGAGATCAAGGGGCTGACGACCAACGTGGACCATGGGCCACCGCCCACCCTGACGCTCAGGCTCAGGGGTCGATCGCATCGAGTCGCAGTGCCGTGGCCGTGGCTGTGGCTGCTCAACGCCCTCGCCGCCGCGATGCTGAACCTCGCGTCCTTCGAGGCCAACAAGCGCTGCGGCCCTCTGACCATGGCCATCGCCACCAACATGAAACAAGTCGTCATTCTCCTCATGGTGATATGCCTCCGCGACGTCACCGGGGCGACCAACAACGCACACGACCGCCGCGCCAGAGAGAACACCGTCATCGTGGGTTCCCTGATCACGACCGTCGGAGGGATTTGGTACGCCTTTGCCAGCGCACGGACGAAGCGGAGACAAAGACGGGATTCGGTGGGAGATGACGCCGTCTCTGAGAAACGAGGCTGGGTTGGATAGGGAGGGGGCTGCAGCTCCAGCTGTGAAAACAGTCTCACCGATCGAAAGTAGGTTCGAAGAGTAATACCATCGGGGGATCGACTCGGTTGGAACAAAGCGGAGGCAGGATTAGAGAAGCCATGTTCAGCTATCATCGTGTGACCTGTTTGATGCAAATCGCTCCCGTTCGATCGAACTTGCTACCATGCGTCGCGTCGGGATGGGAGTGTCTGATATGGACAAGCGAGGCTGGCCATCGTCCGAGGGCAAGAACAGGCCCAGAACAAGAGATTCGCCTTGCGACCAAGCGACTGTCTGTCTGCCTCACTCGCTGAAAGCTTGGGTTTCCGAATCATGGCACAGCATCCTCAAAGGAAAACTGGCGGAAAGCGGAGGCTGGCTTCTACGTATTTTCGATGTAGATACCGAGTTCGAGGTACTCGGTCCGTGCTTCCCCTTCCATATTCGAAGAGCTAATAGATTGATGGTGAATGGCCCACAAAGGGGGATACTGGCACACGATATGACTTTTTTTTTCCCATGACCTATTCCGGGTTGCTTTTCGTCTCAACTTTTTCTCCTGATACCCATGTACACCAGATTCCACGGACCCAAGGTAGTGATACACCTGTATGGTTCTCTCTCTCTCTCTCTCTCTCCCTTCACCTCACAGATTCCCGTCTCGTTACCGCCAGCAGCACAGATTCTAATGGACCGTCCGCCCTCGCTTCGTCCGAGATACATTTTCACCCCTCCAAAGCCTTCAAGCTCGCCTCGTAGACCTTCTTGACCTCGTCCTGACCCTTCTTCACCACCTCCTCCATCTGCTTGTGCGCCTTGCGCAGTTCGTCCTGGATGACCAGCTTCCCCAGCTCCATCTTCCGGAACCGCTTTTGCGCGTCGCCCCTCGCGTTGCGAACGTCCTGGGACGCCCGGTCGAACATCTTCTTGGCCTCGGCACGCGCGAGGTTGCGCGTCTCCGCCGTGATGGGCGGAACGGGTACCGTGATCAGCAAGGGGTTAGAGGCGGTCGGCGGGTTCGACTGGGAGACTGAGGTCGTGCCTGGGGTGTGTGGAGCGGTCGTCTGCGGGACGAGACTGTACGGGCTTGCGAGGAGGGCTGATGCGATTGGTTTGACGTGCTATAAAAGAACCGAAAATAAAATCCCGTTAGTTTCACGCGCTTCTTGACTCTGTAATTCCTCAACGCCCCCCCAAAAAGCCACATTCCGAGGATGGGACACCCATGGCCCTGAATATAGAAAAAAGGGAGACGAAGCAAATACACGGAAAGATGGGCACTCACAGATTCCTCGGCGCAGAATATCTGCACACTCCTCCCACCCTTTGCAACCACACTGGCCAGATCCCCGACCTTGACTTTTTCCTTGTGCGGGCTCCCTCTCCCCGTCTCCGCCCCTTTGACGTTGATCTCCACGGGCAATGCCTCGATCATCTCCGGCGTGACCCTGCCGGCGTCCTTGGTCTTGACCAGCGCCTCCTTGAGGCGCGCCACAGCCTTTGCGATCGCCGCCTCGAGCTCGGAGAAGTCGTACGGGTCAATCTCACTGTCGCGGTTGCGCGTGGCTTTGTTGTCCGGGATGTGCACGTCGTCCTTGTGCCGGAGGGAGTCGACCGAGGGGGATTTTCGCGACGATTTGGACGAGCCCGACGACTTCTTGAGCAGGGATGTCGAGGTCGAGAGTGTTCGAGCGGGGACTTGACGTGCTTGTGTTGGCACTCTCACTGGGAGTATCCGTCTAGGTACGTAGGACCGAAGTAGTCGGGTCTGGCATTGGAAGCATAGAGATTGCTGCTGTTGCGACAATGAGGAAGGGCGCAGTTGCCGATGCGCAGGGAGCAGCAGTTGCTGAATGGCCTGTGCCGTCTCTCTGCTCCGTGGAGGCATTTTGGTATCTGTATGTTGCGAAGGACGAGCGACGAGCTTGACAGTCCGCCACACGTCGAGTTGATTGGATTTTGGAACGTAGATTTTCTTTTGCTCGCCCGGTTGATTCAGTTGTGATGCGAAAGTTGGAGAAGCTCCAGGTGCGCGACCCACTTCGCGCTAACATTTGGCAATTCTGCATAGCACGAGGCTGAAGGCTTAAGGGGGTCTAGTAGACCATTTGCATAGGTGCTACAAAGCTTGAGAAGTCAGACCTCGCTGGACATGGGTCTGCTGAGCTTCGAGATAGCGAATCGCATACTCAATGTGTCTGTGACTGCAACCGGACAAGAAACCAAATAAACCAAGTGCTTTTTATTTTGCTCCCGAGTAGGCGAAAACAAAATGTCCCTGCGCTTAAGCCGTGTAAGAAGCACAGTTGCGGCAAACCAAACACTATCTTCATTCTGATTTCATGGCCGAGAAACGAGATTGCCGCTCTATCTTAAACATACTAAGGCAATAACATTTTCCTAGCCTATTGACGAGCCCAACCAGCAGCTGCTGGTCCGATTGACCCGCCTGACAACTATCCGAAAACGACGCCAGCCACATTTCTTTTGAAAATGCCATGCATACTGTCATGAGGATGGGGAGAGGTAGCGCTCCGAGAGGTTTTCGGTTGACTTGGTGGCCTACCCAAGAGTAGCTTGATAGGCTCAACCGATCGTCGACGAGATGGCCGTCTACCTCGTAGCCATGGCCTTGGTCATAGCTCTCTTCAGAGCCAATTCCTTCTTCTTCAAATCATCCGGAGTCGAATCATCCACCTCAAGCTGTTGCATAGCGTCACTCAAGGCCTCCTCGATCTTGGCCTTGTTGCCACGCTTCATCTTCATCGACAATCCCGGGTCGTTGATCAGTTCCTCCACACGACCAATGTATGACTCGAGTTGCTGCTTGGCCTCGAATTTCTTGGTGAATGCCTCGTCGCTGGTTTTGAATTTAGCAGCGTCCTCAACCATCTTTTCGATCTCAGTGGTGGAGAGTTTGCCGACGGCGTTGGAGATGGTAATGTTGGCGCTTCGACCGGAGGATTTCTCGGTCGCAGTGACTTTAAGAATACCATTGACATCTACTTCGAACACAACTTCGAGAGCAGCATCTCCAGCACGTTGTGGGGGGATCGGAGACAGAGTAAACTCGCCCAGAGAAGTGTTGTCCTCGCAGTTGGTCCGCTCTCCTTGGTAGACGGGGAACTGGACGGTTTGCTGGTTGCTAGAGCACTTGTCAGCGCGCAAGGTAATTCAACGACGGGAAGCTACTTACTCAACCACAGTGGTGAAGGTTCTGTCAGACATGAAATTTGTCAGTAAATACCAATAGTCGCGAACAAAACAATTATGTAGATGGAAGATGCAGAACGATGAGTCCAGGTGCAGACATGGCAATGTGAATCAGGTAACACATTGCATCCAGGTAAAGTGACGAATGAGAGATGATGGGTGTGCAAATGACGGTTGGTGATTAGGTCTGGCAGGTGCCATTGCCGAGTCCGGTGGGGAGGAGATTGACGATAAAACAAAAATGAAGGACAAAGAAAATGAGATGAACTGACCTCTTCTTAACGCAAGGCACCGTGTTGCCGCGAGGAACAACGGGAGCGAAAATGTTGCCTTCCATAGCCACACCGAGAGATAGAGGAACGACATCGAGCAGGAGAAGGTCGGCAGTCTCAGCAGAGGTGGCTTTGCCGGACAGGATACCTGCCTGCACGGCGGCTCCGTAGGCAACGGCTTCGTCAGGGTTAATACTCTATTCCAGTGTTAGCAAAAATCCAAGTCAGTCTAAGGTGTAACGAACCTTCTCCAGCTTCTTGCCGTCGAAGAAATCGCTCAGCAATTTCTGGATACGAGGGATACGGGTTGAACCACCAACAAGCACAATCTCGTCCACCTTTGATTTCTCGATGTTGGCGTCTTTCAGGACTTGTTGAACAGGGTCCAGGGTACCATTGAAGATCTTGGCATTGAGATCCTCAAATCGAGCACGGGTGATGGTAGCATTGAAATCTTCTCCATCGAACAGCGAATCAATCTCAACTGTAGCCTGGGTACCATTCGACAGTGTTCTCTTAGCGCGTTCGCAGGCGGTCCGAAGTCGTCGAAGAGCACGGGCGTCACCAGACAAATCCTTCTTGGTCTTCCTCGTGAACTCTTTCTTGAAGTGCTCGAGAAGGTTGGTGTCAAAGTCCTGACCACCCAAATGGGTATCTCCAGCAGTAGCCTTGACGGTGAAGACACCACCTTGGATGTTTAGGAGAGAAACATCGAAGGTACCACCACCAAGATCGTAGATGAGGACGTTTCGCTCCTTGTCTGACTTGCCAGATCCAAGACCGTAGGCGATGGCGGCAGCAGTGGGCTCGTTGATGATACGGAGGACGTTGAGGCCGGAAATGGCACCAGCGTCCTTGGTGGCTTGTCGCTGATTGTCATTGAAATAAGCAGGCACCGTGACAACGGCCTTGGAAACTTTCTTGCCCAGCTTGGTCTCTGCAACCTCCTTCATCTGTAGCGCAATGCTTTAGTGGTGTGCGGTCTGGTGCGCGGAAAAATGAGGGCTCTCACCTTCATCAAGACCATGGAGGAGATTTCCTGGGGTGAGAAAGTCTTGGTTTCCCCGAGGTATTGGACCTGAACCATGGGGTTGCCGCCCTGGTCAACGACCTTGAACGGCCATGATTCGATATCCTTCTTGACCGTTGGGTCATCAAACCGTCTTCCGATCAATCGCCTGCGCCGAGGTTAAGAAGAATTCAGTATATTATGGATAGCTCCCACTGACTTGACGTCAAAGACTGTGTTTTCCGGGTTCATGGCCGCCTGGTTTTTTGCAGCCTCGCCGATGAGGCGCTCCTCATCGGTGAAGGAGACGAAGGAAGGGGTGGTGAAGCTACCTTGCTCATTGGCGACTGCGGCGACTGTTAGCATATCACTCGGCTTCGCAGCTAGGTAGAAGAGGTGGGCTTACTGATTTCGACATTTGTGCCTTCGTAGACGGCGACACAGGAGTAAGTGGTACCTGTAGGAATTCTTTGTTAGAGGCCGCAGACGTCGGTGAGAGCGGGGAGCAAGCAGCATACCAAGATCGATGCCGATGGCACCCTCATAGACTTCGTCTGCCATATTGACGGTATGATAAGATATTTCCCCTCAACCAAGACTGCAGGAGGACACAAGAGGAAAAGGAAGATGCGAGGGTGTTGTAGGCAAAAAGGTGGAAACAGCCTACCACTGCAAAAGTTCTACGCTTCGACAACTTTTTAGCCACGGACCACATAAATTTTCCAAAATTTTGGCCAAGAACTCGGTAACTTTATGTCGCACTTATTCCGATCCGATAGCAGTGGCGCTGCTTTTTAATATTCATGAGCTAGCCCAAATCATCCTGAAACTCACGTGATATTTTAACACAAAATTCGGGGTCGATGGAGAACTAGATTGTAAAAACAGCGTCACTGCTTCCAGACTTTTGGAGCATTGCCGTTCGGGCGTCTCACATCACTACAAGTACCTCGGACTGAAAACAATTCAATACTTGAAACTCGGGTGTCGAGAGACACAAGACCATTTCCATTCACATCTCAACGCCGAAGCATGCTTCTCACTATTACACAGGGCCAATAGAACTCCCTCGGACGGGTATACAGACTTCCTCAAACCAAAAATGTACTTGAAATCCTCACTTTTCCAACAACACAGCACTCCAATGGAGCTCCCAGAACCTGCGCCTAGCCTGAAGAACTTTGCGAGAGCCCCTGTCCCTACCGCATCGGCGTCTCATTCTCCACGAGTACATGCCCATCTTCACTGCCAACACGTCGCCCGGGTTTGAACTTGTCTGGGAACCAAAGAAAGAAAGTCATCTGCACAATCCACATAGGGATCGCATCAAAGACGTAGGCCGGCCAATCATGGGACAGCAGATACGAATCCACTCCCATGATGTACTCGACCACCCGAAAGACTGATCGCACCATGATCAACGCACTGCAGAAGTATATCATCCTCAACCCTTGTTTCCATGGGATATTTGGCCATGAGCTTGTGTCTTTCCCACCGGACCTCCGCATCCTCGCGTGGAATACCCACGCGACTGCGACGAAGCATCCAAAGGCAATCAACTGGATAAACAGACCGGCGATCACTATGTACTGCCCAATCTTTTGAGTCTTGTCCTTGGCTGTCAACCCGGCACCGTTTCCCTGCACGTTCAGAGACAGAATATCCGCCACGACGAATAGCTTGGTCATCCTGGCGGGCCGAATGACGGAGAAGCGCTCGCCGTGTACGCTGCGAATGAGCCGACCGAGGACCATGTAGATGGAGGCGGCATATAAGACCGGCGCCAATAGGATGAAGGAGCTCTGGACTGCGTACGGCGCAATGAGATCGGTACGGTAATGAGCGAATATGCGAACACCAAAGCCGATTACTTGAACTGGAGAGAAAGAAGGTGAGCAAGAACCAAAAATGTCTTCTTTTCCCAGGTGAGATTTTCCCCCCATCCATACATGAGGGTCAACCATGGATACAGACATGCCAAATTGGGCAGATAAACTTACACAGTCCACCAACGGCGAAGGGGATGCAGAACCAAGTCCGCGTCCTGTGTATGCGCAAGCAAAGAGCGGCGGTGGCGCCTGCGAACAAGATGATGGCTGCGGCTGAAGCTGGGACTGACGGGAGGTACTTCCAGAGGTAGTAGTCCGTCCCGGCCACGGGTTTGAGTTGTGTCATGGCTGCGTGATGCACAGGAGTGTTGAAGAAGATGCCACACAATCGAGGGAGGGGGCCGGGG